ACTAAAATTCTAATTCTAGCAACTCTAGATTCTAGAATTCTAATTCTAGCAACTCTAGATTCTAGAATTCTAATTCTAGCAACTCTAGACTCTAGAATTCTAGATTTCTAGCAATTCTAGACACTAGAATTCTAATTCTAGCAACTCTAGACTCTAGAATTCTAGATTTCTAGCAATTCTAGATTCTAGAATTCTAATTCTATCAACTCTAGATTCTAGAATTCTAATTCTAGCAACTCTAGACTCTAGAATTCTAATTCTAGCAACTCTAGATACTCTAAAGAATGTTGCAACTAAAATGAACTGTCCTAGCTACCGTAACCAGCACTAATTGAGGGTTTAAGTTACGGTAGCCACGTTTTAATCAAGCAAAAGGATTCTTTGAGAAGCTTTTGTTTCTAACACCACATCTAACATCTGTTTCTAACATCAATAAATATTAGTATTATTGATTTCAAAGAGAAAAAAGCTTTGGAAGAATCAGTCGAATGTATAGCACTAAAGCAATGAATACAGTAATCGGTTGCTGGAGGAGATTTGGTTGAAGTGAAAAGGGGAAGGGAAAGGATTGCACTTCTTTGAACCGATCAAACAACAATCCCTGGACAAAAGGCTCATCGAGAATAGAAACAGAATACAGGAGATGACGAGGAGATTTTCCTCGAAAAGAATCGGAGAATATTTTACAGATAAGGCGGTAACAAGTTAAGGTAAACACTAGATAAACAACGAATGAAGTCAAAGTGTAGCTACTAATCTAAAAAAAACTCATAATCATTTTAGTTTTATGTTTGATGAGCTATTGATGAGTAAAGATTAGATATAAACGCTTATAAACTACAAAAAGACAAACTCTTAAACTAAAAACGGTTATAACTTTTAAACGGCTCTTTCTATTAAACATTTTTCTGTAAATTTTCTTATCAAAAGATAGCGAAACTCAAGAGCTTTTGGATGATAATCAATTTCTGCATTAAATAACAAAAGCACAAGCTTTAAGTTGATTTGTACAGACACAATTCACCATTTTGCTTTAAGTGGCAAGTTAAGGCAAACACTAGATAAACAACGAATGAATGTATGTAAAGTGTAGCTACTTTTTACTTGACTCATAATCATTTTAGTTTTATGTTTAATGAGCTATTGATGAGCTATTGATGAGCTATTGATGAACTATTGATTAGAAATAAACGCTTATAAACTACCAAAAGACAAACTCTTAAACTAAAAACGGTTGTAACTTTTAAACGGCTCTTTCTATTAAACATTTTTCTGTAAATTTTCTTATCAAAAGCTAGCGAAACTCGAAACTTTTGAATGATAATCAATTTCTGCGTTAAATAACAAAAGCACAAGTTTTGAAGTTGATTTGTACAGACACAATTCACTATTTTGCTTTTAGCGGCGAGTAGAAGCCTAAATCAGCTCAAAGTTCAAGAAAGAAAGCCTAAATCATCTCAAAGTTGAACCTGGGATTATTGTAACTAACTGGCGAGTAGAATTGGGTAGAAATTTGCATAGCTAATAGCTAGTATTAGCAGTATTAGCTAGTATTAGCAATACGATTCTCTATAGAACTTTGAAGCACTTCTATGAGTAGAGACTGTAGCTTCTGTTCTTTGAACTAGAAATTTGGAGTCGAGAAGGAAAAGAACAACAAGGCAACAACTAGACGTATGGACTGAGGGACAATTTTAGATAGAAAGATGAGAGGAACGATAACAAGGATGATCTCACAGTATTCCTCTCTTTAGCCTAAAGCAGTCTAAATGAGTGCTCGTCAAATAGTCTTTCCCGAAAGGACCACATCCTCTCATGTAATGCGCTCGGTAAATAGACGGGAGAGATACTTGGAGGAGAGATTGGAAGGCGGAGGACTAGACCAAGATGATCGTTTAGGAACAACAACAAGGTGCTTAAGAATCGACGAATCTTTGCTCTTTCAGAGCTTTGAACTTTTCCTCGTGTAGACTACTCGAATGCTATAGCTTCAAAGCTTCAAACCATAAGTTAGTTTAACTTTACTTTTCTATTGTCCTACTGATTACAGACTTTCAGGAAAGAGCAAAGATTCGTCGATTCTTAAGCACCTTGTTGTTGTTCCTAAACGATCATCCTCTTAGCTAACAGCTTTTCTAAAAGGTGCCTATTTTAGCAAACGTAATGAAGAAAACAACCGTAATCAAGCCATCTTTTTTTTGCGATCAAACCATCAAGCCATCAGTGCTTTTTCTAATGTAATATTACGGTGATGGGAATGAAATCAGCGCTCACAAATCTTTCTAAAAATAAAAAGATTTCAAAGATCAGCCAATAAGTGTTGAATACTGTTTGAAAGCCATGAATCTTCTCTATAAAATATTGCAAAAAGATTTTGAATTGAATCGATTGTTGAAGATTTGAGTGACATTTAAGTTGGAAGATCAAAAATGAGCATTTTCTGGAAAATATGTTTCTGGTAATAGCCATGTGCAGGTTTTTCGTTAGAAAAGATCACCAATTAAAGTTATTTGTAAATAACTTAAAAAGACAAGAACTTCTTTTTGTGTACCGTATTTTCTCTAATAGTAGTGCACCATGAGCGTCGCCTAAATTGCTCGAAATCTCGAGAACCGCTTATCAGAACCTATCGATGTGGGGTCGGAAAATGTAGCTGACGATGAGATCTTGTCGGGATTTCAGTGTTGAGCTTCTGTGAAAACTTTGGAAGCCGTAAAATCGTCATCAACTCGGCTCGCTGGGGTGCACTACTATTAGAGAGGATATTTGCTCTTAAAGTTGCAGCTTTGCTGGGGTTGCAGCTTTGCTGGGGTTGCAGCTTTGCTGGGGTTGCAGCTTTGCTGGGGTTGCAGCTTTGCTGGGGTTGCAGCTTTGCTGGGGTTGCAGCTTTGCTGGGGTTGCAGCTTTGCTGGGGTTGCAGCTTTGCTGGGGTTGCAGCTTTGCTGGGGTTGCAGCTTTGCTGGGGTTGCAGCTTTGCTGGGGTTGCAGCTTTGCTGGGGTTGCAGCTTTGCTGGGGTTGCAGCTTTGCTGGGGTTGCAGCTTTGCTGGGGTTGCAGCTTTGCTGGGGTTGCAGCTTTGCTGGGGTTGCAGCTTTGCTGGGGTTGCAGCTTTGCTGGGGTTGCAGCTTTGCTGGGGTTGCAGCTTTGCTGGGGTTGCAGCTTTGCTGGGGTTGCAGCTTTGCTGGGGTTGCAGCTTTGCTGGGGTTGCAGCTTTGCTGGGGTTGCAGCTTTGCTGGGGTTGCAGCTTTGCTGGGGTTGCAGCTTTGCTGGGGTTGCAGCTTTGCTGGGGTTGCAGCTTTGCTGGGGTTGCAGCTTTGCTGGGGTTGCAGCTTTGCTGGGGTTGCAGCTTTGCTGGGGTTGCAGCTTTGCTGGGGTTGCAGCTTTGCTGGGGTTGCAGCTTTGCTGGGGTTGCAGCTTTGCTGGGGTTGCAGCTTTGCTGGGGTTGCAGCTTTGCTGGGGTTGCAGCTTTGCTGGGGTTGCAGCTTTGCTGGGGTTGCAGCTTTGCTGGGGTTGCAGCTTTGCTGGGGTTGCAGCTTTGCTGGGGTTGCAGCTTTGCTGGGGTTGCAGCTTTGCTGGGGTTGCAGCTTTGCTGGGGTTGCAGCTTTGCTGGGGTTGCAGCTTTGCTGGGGTTGCAGCTTTGCTGGGGTTGCAGCTTTGCTGGGGTTGCAGCTTTGCTGGGGTTGCAGCTTTGCTGGGGTTGCAGCTTTGCTGGGGTTGCAGCTTTGCTGGGGTTGCAGCTTTGCTGGGGTTGCAGCTTTGCTGGGGTTGCAGCTTTGCTGGGGTTGCAGCTTTGCTGGGGTTGCAGCTTTGCTGGGGTTGCAGCTTTGCTGGGGTTGCAGCTTTGCTGGGGTTGCAGCTTTGCTGGGGTTGCAGCTTTGCTGGGGTTGCAGCTTTGCTGGGGTTGCAGCTTTGCTGGGGTTGCAGCTTTGCTGGGGTTGCAGCTTTGCTGGGGTTGCAGCTTTGCTGGGGTTGCAGCTTTGCTGGGGTTGCAGCTTTGCTGGGGTTGCAGCTTTGCTGGGGTTGCAGCTTTGCTGGGGTTGCAGCTTTGCTGGGGTTGCAGCTTTGCTGGGGTTGCAGCTTTGCTGGGGTTGCAGCTTTGCTGGGGTTGCAGCTTTGCTGGGGTTGCGGCTTTGCTGGGGTTGCGGCTTTGCTGGGGTTGCGGCTTTGCTGGGGTTGCGGCTTTGCTGGGGTTGCGGCTTTGCTGGGGTTGCGGCTTTGCTGGGGTTGCGGCTTTGCTGGGGTTGCAGCTTTGCTGGGGTTGCAGCTTTGCTGGGGTTGCAGCTTTGCTGGGGTTGCAGCTTTGCTGGGGTTGCAGCTTTGCTGGGGTTGCAGCTTTGCTGGGGTTGCAGCTTTGCTAGGTGCTAGCAAATGTAGCTGACGATGAGATCTTGTCGAGGATTTGAGTGTTGAGCTTCTGGAAAAACTTTGGACCGTAAGATCGTCATCAATTCGGCGGGGTGCACTACTATCAGATTGTAGCAATCGTATCTGTACTTTATCATAAACGATATGATATTTATGATGATAAATATCATATCATTTATCATATCAACTCAGAAATCTACCCAACTAGTCATGGTGATGGTAAATTGTGAAAACAATTTGCACTAAATATTGTATGATATTTAGTATCCATATTGCTAATTGCATATTGCTAAATACAGTATCCATATTGCTAAATGTTGCATGATTTTTTAAAATGTTTATTTAATCTTAAAAATACAATTCAAAAGAAACACTCGCATCAAAAGATGGCCATTGGAGAGATGACTAGAGAGAGAGAAAAAGAGAAAAAGAGAAAAAGAGAAAAAGAGAAAAAGAGAAAAAGAGAAAAAGAGAAAAAGAGAAAAGAAAAAGAGTCAAAACAAAAGGACAAAGCAAAAAAAAACAAAACAAAAACTGATAATGAGATCACAATTGGGGGAAAGGGAAATAGAAAATGTTGAATGGAAAATCTAAAGAATTGAAATGAAAAAGTAATAATGTGAAAAATTGATTCTACTGTATCCATCGAGAAAATGTTCTATTGAAGACCAACTCGTGAATGCAATCAACAAAACCCAAATCGAAACGTGGATTTGCGCGAGTGAACAGCTCGTTCGATTTACTGGAAAAGAGCTTTAGAATCTGAATTGATATTCTGAATAAATCTGATTAGATTCTGAATTTATTCTGAATTGATTCCTGAAAACTAATCGAAAAACGAAAGATCTTTAGTCTAAAGATGCTCTATCTCAATATAAATACAGTACTAGACAATGAAATATCATATTTGGCTCTATCTCAATATAAATACAGTACTAAACAATGAAATATCATATTTGAAAAACGATCGTCACTTTCGCGAGTCTGTATCCCATCTTGTGTGCGCTGAAATGCGTCAAAAAATCCCGTATTTCTAAATATTGTGTAGCTTAATTGTGTAGCCCTTGAAAAGAGCTTTCAGAAAATGTATAACAATAATAGTTTAAACTCAAAGAGACAATGAAGTTAGATGTCTCAAAGAGACAATAGACGCGCGCAAGTAATGATCGTTTTTCAAATATGATATTTCATTGTCCAGTACTGTAGCTTCAATCGACTCTCTGACACTGAAAACCCTAGAAATTTACAGAATATCTTTTTGTGTCAAAAGAAAAGGGACACAATTGAGCTAGTAGATTAAAATAAACAAGAGACGACTATTACAGTTAAAGTATGTTCAAGAAGAAGAACAGTAAGAGAAATGCTATTACTCTTATCGTTCTCTAATCGTAAGTATGATTTTCTAAATGATATTGCTCATACAAGCTCATCGGAGACATCTCATCAGTATGGGATGTATCCGATGAGCTTGTCTGAGTAGAGCTTGTCTGAGTAGAGCTTGTCTGAGTAGAGCTTGTCCGAGCAGAGCTTGTCTGAGTAGAGCTTGTCTGAGTAGAGCTTGTCTGAGTAGAGCTTGTCTGAGTAGAGCTTGTCTGAGTAGAGCTTGTCTGAGTAGAGCTTGTCTGAGTAGAGCTTGTCCGAGCAGAGCTTGTCCGAGCAGAGTTTCTTCAGCTCAACATTCAGATCACAGATCAGATAAATCCAACTATAGTAAGTCAGATTGAGTTTTCGAATTGTAGCTTTGCATCCACTTTAGTCATAGCCTTCATTCCTTAAAAAACACTGGCCAACTCACATAATCTCTTGATAGTTCTCCATGCCGAGGATACAGTTTTGAGCCTCATCAAACTCTTCACTGAGACAAGTCGAGTTTGTCGTGTCTCGAACGACAACTTGTTGATCGTCAAAGTCTGAATTTATTTGTAAAAATAAAAAAAGATTTGATTAACCTTTTCTCGTCATTTCTTTCTTGATAAAGACATGAAATTTCTCATAAAAATTTCGGCTTAAAAAGAACGGTTTCAATTTGAGATGCCACCATTGTTGAAGAGTTTCTTTCAGATAATCTGTAAATCAAAGATTTTAGATTTAAATCTAGATATTGCTAAATAAGATTAGATTTTTCTTAGATCTATATCAATATTTAGATTTAAATTAGCTAATTCTTAGCTACCAGTCATCGAAAGCGTTGAGTTGTGATCGGTTTCGTGGTGATTGAAGTTCTCGATGAAGCCGCGAGTGATTACATTGGAGCCGATTCTAAACAAAATCTTGAAAAGCTTAAGAAATGAATACCATATTTTCTGTAATAGTAGTGCGCAATACTATTTTTTCACCCCCCTCTCTCTAAGCTGCACTACTATTACAAACTACACTACTATTAGAGAGTTTTCATTTTTTCACTAGAACCAAGTCTTTACCAGGCAATAACAACAAGTATCATTCTTTTCTAGTATCATTCAAGTACCAGCAAGTATCATTCAAGTATCAGTCAAGTATCGTTCAAGTATCGTTCAAGACCAACAAGTATCATTCAAGTATCATTCAAGTATCAGTCAAGTATCAGTCAAGTATTGTTCAAGACCAACAAGTATCATTCAAATATCGTTCAAGTATCGTTCAAGTATCGTTCAAGACCAACAAGTATCGTTCAAGTATCGTTCAAGTATTGTTCAAGTATTGTTCAAGTATTGTTCAAGACCAACAAGTATCATTCCTACATATTGATTCAGAAACAAACAAAGGAAATCAGATAACTCAATTAACAAGATCACTATCATAACTATTATCATTCAAATCAATATTAGCAAGATACTTAGCAAGAGCAATATGCTTGTTCTGCTCGAGCATCCGAAAGAAGTTTTGCTCTCTCCGGAATTGAACCATTTTTTTGAAGCAGCTGATAGGGAGGTTCTGATTCATCATTGGTTGCAGTAATTCCACAACTCTTGAAGGAGTGAACGATCAGATGCTTCGACAGCTCATTCCAAGCGTTCCAAACCCATGTCAAGTAAATTTCCATCGGTGGTGAAGCGGGATCCCGTTTCGTGAGAGCCTCGATTCGTTGACCATTCATCCTTCATATTGTGCTCTAATATTTGCTTTGGAGGGAGCGTTCCACGCAACATCAGGATGGAAAGACGGAACGCTGTTACATCGTACTTGAACGTAACAATGTAACAGTGTTTCTTTTTTAATCCCATCGAATGCTCGTTTTCGAGAAGGTTTCTCATCAGGCTCCTCTTCGCCAGCTGCTGATATGTCGTCAGCGATGTCGGCTTTATTTGCACCCAAGTTGATTTCATCTTGAGGCACGAGAAAATCTTCTTTGCATTGAGCATTGAGCATTTCAATCTCGAGCATTTGTACGAAATTCTTGCCACTCTTTATCGGAATCGCCGTCAAGTTCTATTTCTAAAAAATAAAACTTTGAAAAGAATAAGAAAATGCTTGTAAATCAATAAAAGAAGTATTAGGTTGGCAACTTAATAATGACGCGTCACTACTTAACATGTTTTTTGTAATTTCAAGCACCGTTTCTTCCCTCTTTTTGCATATATACAAAGTAAAAGATGTCTGCATAAATAGCATTTGGTGCTACAAATTTCACCATTCGCTTTTTGGCAAAAAATGGAGGACAAAAAATTCCGTATTCGAGCTGTATTGTTCTACGATTTTAAACAAGGAAAATCTCCAGCTGAATCTTATCGCACGATCATCACTGTTTTGGAGAGGAAAGTATACACATTCGGCAATGTCAACGATGGTTTCAAAGATTCCAAGGCGGCGATGGAAGCCTCGTAGACGAGCCACACCAAGGACATCCTCCAGAAGTGGTCGACGATGACTTGCTCGCCTTAATTGAAGATTGCCCAACACTCACCGTTCGTGAGTTGGCAGAAATATTTTAAGTATCCCATACGACAATCGAAAACTATTTACACACTTGGGAAAAAGAATCGTGTTGGAAAATGAGTTCCTCACGAATTGACCCAAAGCAACAAAATGGCCCGTGTCAATGTCGCCTCAATTTTGCTACAAAAATGTAAATCGAACGACTTTTTTCACTTCTGACGAAACGTGGATCAACTACGAGAACGTTAAACGCAAAAATCAATGGCTATCTGCTGGGCAGACCCCTCAAACCACTCCCAAACCTGATATCCATGGGAAGAAGATAATGCTCTGTTGCTGGTGGAACTTCAAGGGATTGGTGCATTATGAAGTGCTAAACCTGGCCAAATCGTCGATGCTGATCTTTATTCGAAGCAATTAATGAGAGTTAACGAGTCTTTGAAGAAATTGGGGCTCAAACCGGAGAGAGTCAGATTTTTACGCGAGAACCCAAAATCTCACACTGCAAAGATCACTTATAAGAAAATCGTGGAACTTGGCTGGAAAGTTTTGCCCCACGCGTCTTATTCACCTGATCTGGCTCCTTCAGATTACTTTTTGTTTCGGATCGCTGAAGCACTTTTTGAAGGGAGAAAAGTTCGATGATCATGCTCGGATCATAAAAGCAGTGAATGACTACTTCACCTCAAAAACTCCCAAGTTCTTCGAGGATGAGATCCGGGATTTGCGCAGAAGATGGGAAGAAGTCATAGATACTAATGGAGAATACCTTTTGAATTGAAGGCTCTTCTTTTGTGTTTTTTTAAAATAAATGATTTGTTACATAAACGCGTCATTATTAAGTTGCCAACCTAATAGTAAAAAATTTGGCAAAAAGTTATTCAAAATCACAATCTGTTAGCCAGTACTAAAGAATTAGTCACAATCTCATAAGAACATCTCATTTAGCTCATTTAGCTCATCTCATTTAGCTCATCTCATTTAGCTCATCACATTTAGCTCATCTCATTTAGCTCATCTCATTTAGCTCATCTCATTAAAACAAAGAACGCCAAAATGAACAACAACAGAGCAAATTTTAGCAGAGTACACTACTATTTTTTCAACCTTCCTCCTGTCTGCACTACTATTACAGAAAATACGATATTCAGCTATTCAGCTTTCATTTTATCAATATTCAACCTCGTATTCTGGCCGAGCCGCGAGATGTTCTTATTGATTACTTGAATCGACTGAAGTGGGATCTCGTGTTCCTGAAGATTCACGTCATTATATAATATTATCGATTATCTTGTTACTTGTAATATAACCATATGTCTCCATTTGTAATTTGGCATTGCATCAACGCAAGCACGATGTGCGGCGAACACCTGAAATGGCCAAATCTGGGTCAGAAGCTATCTGACCGTGAATTTCTATTACAATTCAAACATTTCTTTCCATAGAAAAGAATCCAATTTTTTTTAAACTATTAGAAAGACTATAATTTCTCTACAAAATAGCTTTTGAAAGAAAGCTGAAAGCTCTCTTTTTATGTTTTTTTCAATTACTATTTTTTGAGAATACTGTAACTAATCTTAAGCATTTTTGGAGATTGGTAGTCATTAAAGGGGACTTTCAATCGCCCGCGAGCAGTGGCTGGGTCTCTCCAATCTTTAAAAAGCAAAAAGCCGAAAGCTCTCATTTTTATGTCAAATTTGTTTTTTTTTCAATTACTATTTTTTTTTAAATCGCTAAGCGAATTGTTTTCAAATTTTACAAACTTATGTAATCAAATAAGCTCTATCTTTTTTATTTTAATATCAAAATAGGTTTGTATTAAAGAAAATGGTCAAATTGAGACTTCAGCATCGGAGCTGGGAGCAGCCTTTGCGCTTTTGAAAACCACAAAAAATAACGATTTCCAAAAAACTCTCAAAAGCCATTTTGCAGAGAAACGATAAAGCTTTTTAATAGTTTAAATTAAAAATTTTGTTGGTGAATTAAAATTGGCTTTTTTGCTTGAAATTACTGCGAATCTAGCAATCTCTCACACCTCGATCGGATTCGTTCCATCAAATTTCCCCGATGGTACCACCACATTCAACATGCATAGCCCAAAGTTGCGAATCTGAAGGAGATAATGATATTTAAGGTCTATTCTAATTAAACTGAACCCACTTTTTCCTCGAAATTCTCATTTGCGCGCGTGTCGATCGGCAGACAATAGAAATGCTGAGGAGAGAACAGCATGCTAAGCGTTTGTTCCACAAAATTGTAGTCCTGTAGAAGGGGAAATATATTTCGTTATTGATTTTAAAACATTTCTGTTTCTTGGTCAAAATTTTGACAATACCTGCCTTAGTGACGAGACGAATGAAGTAAACGTGATAGGGGAACTCGATTCGATTCGGGAGGAAGATCGGAAAATATCTAGAATATTTGGAATATTTGGAATGTTTGGAATGTTTGGAATATTTAGAATATTTAGAATTGGCTTGTTGGGATGCTGTCATACTAGGTATTGCTGGAATAGCAAAAGCTAATAATTAGATCTAACGGGGAGTTACAGTTGTTGATTGGTGAATGTTCTCCCGGTTTGGTCGCTTATTTAAGTGCCACAATGATTTAACAAGAAGTAGAATTTGTAGCAAAAATACAGCCAAATTTAAGGCAAGAATTGTTCCTATGAATTTGAGCATAGATGGATTTCAGGATAAGCTCAAAACGGCGAAACTGGCTCACAAGGGAATCATCGAAAAAGGGAATGATTTGCGGATAAGCTCGGAATGCAAACACCAATCGAATATGAGCATTCCAAATATCTATTCAGTTTTTGGCCAAATCCAAATCTAATCTAAACCCTGTAAAGAAACATGCATTTAAAGTTCTAAACAGTTTCGAAAAATCGCTTCCTAGCTAATAAGAGCGCGTCACACGAGCCACGACACAGAGCGGCGGTGGCCTAGAGGCTAGTGTGCTGGATTGCAGAACGATATCGACGGCAACTCGTTGGGTTCGATTCCGGCCACAGACAAACTTTCTTGCTTTTTTGAAAAACAGAAAAATACCACTTTTAAGCTTTGAAACAAAAGGATATTCAGCTTAAGTTTCTACCCAGGGGTTTTTCTTTACAAAGATCTATGCATTTACGTCATTATATAATATGATCGATTATCTTGCTACTTGTAATATGACCATATGTCGGAGCTATTCATTTCCAACTTTTCACCTCCTCTTTCTGATATCCCAACAGGTTTTCGTCTTCAACTTTGTCTCATTCCCATTGATCGTCGTTCGATTGATGAGATATTCATTGAGAAGCCTTTCACCGTCTTCACTTCCATCACCAAAACGCGAACATTTCAGCTCGTTGTTTGGTGAGAGCGGGATGAATTGATGGAGTCTAGAAAGAAAATCAAAGTCAAAATTCGCAAAATGAATGAAGAATGAAGACTCACTGAATAATGACATATCCGACAAAGACGAAGAAAAACCCGAGCAGTCCGATGCTGACAATATAGCCGCCAATCTTGCAAAACGTTTTCAAATAGCCACGATACGTTTCATCAAGTGACATCTCTCTCAGATCAAAATTTTTCTCGTATTTCTCATATTTTTCAAAGTTCTCAGCACATCGAAGTTTGTTTTTATGATCGGAAAAGGTTAGAGTCAGAATAGTCAGTCAGTCAGTCAGTCAGTCAGTCAGTCAGTCAGTCAGTCAGTCAGTCAGTCAGTCAGTCAGTCAGTCAGTCAATCAGTCAGTCAGTCAGTCAGTCAGTCAGTCAGTCAGTCAGTCAGTCAGTCAGTCAGTCAATCAGTCAGTCAGTCAGTCAGTCAGTCAGTCAGTCGGTCAATCAAGAATAATCAAGATCAATAAAAGAGAAAAGATGAAACAAATGAATTTAAAAACTGAAAGATTAGATTGAATCTGGAGATCGAAACGTGTGAAGAGTCTAGTCTAAAGCTCTAGTTTTTTTTTTGATTTAAAAACTTTTGGAAAGTGAAAAGACTAACTTTGAAACTATTTTATATTAAGCTTTGTAAAGAAACTAATTAATTTGTAAAGATAAAGATATGTGAATAGTTTAGGTTAAAGGCATGGCTTGGCTTTGGCTGGGCTCGGCTTTGGCTTGGCTTGGCTTGGCTTGGCTTTGGCTTGGCTTGGCTTGGCTTGGCTTGGCTTTATTTTCGCTCTAATTGGATTAGTTTTCAATCCAACTTTCGTTAATCTCTTAACAAGTTGTTGACAAAAGTCAGAAGTGCTTAAGATTGTAGATAGATCATAGATAGATCATAGATAGATCATAGATATATCACAAAAACATTGATAAACTGAAGAATAGGCTTTTAAGCTTACTTTGAATTTTGTGATTTAGTTATAGCTCTTGGATTGATCACAAATTTGTGCTCTGTTTCCTCAAGATTGTAGCCATTAAAGGAGTCAATATAGTGGACTAAATTGACAAAAAAATATGAGCAAAATAAAGTTGTTTAGCTCAAAAAGATCTCAAGGATTTAAATATGATGGAAAAAAAATGTTTAGCATATTCAAAACGTTTAAAATTCAAATCGAAAACAAGATGCGGATCAATTGAAGTTTTCGGCGTGTGGTTTGAGAGAGGTTTGAGAAAGATTTTCGTATTTTCTCCTTGAACAAAAAAAGGAAAAAACAGTGGTTTATATTGGATGAAAGAATCGAAAAAGAAAGGTAAAAATTGATAGAAAACCTTGAAGAAAAGGGAAAAGTTTGCCGTTTTTTTGGGAGAACGCAATAGTAACTGCGCTGTAGTTTCAAAATAAAATTGTTTAAACTATTGCAATAGCTATGAAATGTATTTGATTTTTAAATACTTGATCTGATTTTTTGTTGTTCTTCTTGTTCTTCTTGTCCTTCTTGTTCTTCTTGTTCTTCTTCTTTCTTCTTCTTTCTTCATGTTCTTCTTCTTTCTTCTTCTTTCTTCTTGTTCTTCTTCTTGTTCTTCTTCTTGTTCTTCTTCTTCTCCTTCTTCTTCTTCTTCTGCTTCTTCTTCTTGTTGTTGTTGTTCTTCTTCTCCTTCTTCTTCTTGTTCTTCTTGTTCTTCTTGTTCTTCTTCTTTTTCTTTTTCTTCTTCTTCTTCTTCTTCTTGTTCAATCGACCACCACAACTAGACTTCTTGCTTAAACTTCTTGCTTCTTGCAAACTTTTCCCAATCCATTCAACTCAAAACTAAGTATGTTTATCTAAAGTTTGACTAATAGTAAATCGATTTAACTGCTCCGTTTACCATAACCCATAAAATAGTAACATAAAAGATTTAATATAACATTTAACAGAATTTAACAGTCACGGATTTAATAGAATATTTCAAAATTGTAAAGGACAGGCAACCTATCCCTCTTTTTCGAGATTTATTCAAAGTTAATCCCACGGTTAGTTCAAGGAGAGGTTCTTTCGTTTTAGAAATTCCAGTCACCTCCAATAAATTTGTGTATAGCTCTTTTCCAATAAGAACTGCCAGAATTTGGAATCGACTCCCCAGAGAGTCCAATAGTCTCGAAACCTTTAAATTATCTGTAGATGATCTTGATCTTGAAGCTCTAGTGGATCCTTGACGTTATCTTTGCTATCCATATACCTATATTAATCGTGTTGCTTTTTATCGGCCCTTTTCGTGTTATGTGTATTAATCTTAAATATAGCGCACTTTATCTCAGGTCCTGAATAAAGTATCTATATATTATAGTCAATAATATGGTCATAGTTGATAGATTACTATAACATCAACTGCATCTAGTTAGCTAACTAACTGGCTACAATTTTAAATTAACAAACCCCTCAACTCTGTAGAAACTGTGGTTTTAAAAAAGCTCTTTTTTCGATGAAGCTTAAGCCGGTGTCTTTAGAATTCAACCAATATAAATGTCCTGAAATGAGATGAGCAATTATGCTAACCCTAATTGACTTATTTCACTCACCCATTTTCACAGATCAAAAAATAAGTCTCAAAATGGTTCAAGGTACAGTTAAAGGGTTTCAAAGAGAGAAAATTGCCAATAAAACACTAAGTTTGAGCTGATGATCGGGTAAAAATTGGGAGGAAAACGTTGGAAAAGAGAGACAGAAAAGGGCAAGTTCTTTGAGAGAAGAAAATTTGGGAGGGAGTGACAGAATCGATGAAATCATTTGCTTTCTCTGTTTTGCCCACCCTCAATCGCTTTGTTGATTTCCATCGAATCTTTTTGATGTAAAGGGAAAAGGAAATAGTTTTTGACGGGTTTCATTTAAGGAAATTTTTCAGAACTTGAGAAGTAAGAAGGAAAAGAAAATCACTTAGTTATTATAAATCATCTTTTGACTGATGATCGAATTAAAAATCAGTTCAAGCAAGTACAAAGATGACTCAAGATACTTGGTCTGATCTTGCTTAGCCTATTGCTTTTAGAATAATCCAGCTCTGAAGCCTCTGAAGACTTGATCCAAGCTTGTTCAAAGCTTGAGCCAAGCTTGTTCAAAGCTTGAGCCAAGCTTGTTCAAAGCTTGAGCCAAGCTTGTTCAAAGCTTGAGCCAAGCTTGTTCAAAGCTTGTTCAAAGCTTGTTCAAAGCTTGTTCAAAGCTTGTTCAAATCTTGATCCAACGTTGTTCAAAGCTTGACGCAAGCCAAACTTTATCTGATCTATTCTATCTTTAAGTTATGATATTATTTTTAAATAAAGTACAACTAACGCTTTATATTGTTTAGTTAAAATCATTTTGAGAGTATTGAAAGGGTTTTCTTGTGTAGTAGTAAAAAATTGGCTACTTTAAAGAAAATTTGCGGGAAAATTTGAACAATTAAAGTCATTTTTAACAAAAAGACTTCAGAAAAAACATGAAAAACTTTGCAAAAACTCGGGCTTTCCGCCAATCAAAGAGATAATCTATCAAAGAGGAGAAGAACTTGCAAGTGGATCCAAAATTGGAAAAAAGATTTGGAAAAGGGAATGAGAAAATTTCTCTCTTAGCCAAACTAAGCAAAATAGGTTGATTTCTCATTTCCTGATCTTTTCATCTTGATCTTTTACGAGAAAACTTTTTGATTTCGATCAATAGGCTACAAAGGATAGTTAGATAGTTGATAGTTGAAGGTTGGAGTTGAGAGTTGAAGGTTGGAGTTGATAGTTGAAGGTTGGAGTTGATAGTTGAAGGTTGGAGTTGATAGTTGAAGGTTGGAGTTGATAGTTGAAGGTTGGAGTTGAGAGTTGAAGGTTAGATAGTTGAAGGTTGGAGAAAGAGAAAAATGAATTGCGAAAGATGCAAATTTGGTATGGCTTAATAGTTTTTAAATCCCGTGTAGATCTTGTAGATAACTATCACTATCACATCCTTAAACAGAGCTTTAAATTCAGAAAATGTGGCATGTACAGTATGTACAGAAGGGTTGGCTCTGGATCTAGCTTGTGGTTGACTCAAATATGATACTTTTGATAGCCAATAACTTGTTTGCCATTGGTTTTGGATAGATATATTCTAACAGGCGCCAGAGCTTGTAAAATCGAAACAGGCTGGACTAGAAGTCAGATCTAGACCTAGCTTCTATTTGATTACTAGTTGTAGAAGTGCACGGGCCAGGCTTTAGGTCTAGCTCTGAATCTAGCTTGTGGTTGACTCAAACATGATACTTTTTTACTTACCAGACTTCTGGTGGACAAATTTCTAAAAGATCTTTTGCATGTACTGAATCGAGATCTTTTAGAAATTTGTCCACCAGAAGTCTGGTAAGTAAAAAGTTCAAACTTTAGATCTCGAACGCCTCTGTTAATCGATTAGATCAAAATTAGCAAATCAACGAATTGAACGTGCACTTTCTTTGACTTTTCTCAGGTAAACATCGTTTATTTGTTATATCTCTTCTCTTGAACATTCCTATTTTATTGAAATGGCAAAGAAAATTGAAATCGTTTTTGTTTTCTTTTTCTCAGGTGTTATTCACAATCACCACTGTTCGATACTCAGCCATTCGCTCGTCACGATGATAATCGGGTGAGTTAAAATATCTGAAAACAAAGCTGAAAAATCAGTAAAACTTTAAACTTGTGGTTGCTTTACTGTAAAGTATTCTCACTACAATATGTTGGACAAAAAATATAGACTTGAACATCTAGAGTCAGACTATGATAGGTTAAAAGACAGGTTTAGGTCCCGGCCAGGTCGGGTCTGGTAGAGAGCTGGCCAGAGCTAGCCTGGGCCTGGCTCTACTCAGCTTTGATTCCTTACTTCCAGTTTTGGTTTTGGTTTTTGGCCTGCTTATCACCGAATCAGTGCCTACTAGTACGAACCTCTCACGGAGCTGCTTGAAAAACTGATCCCTGTCCTCGCCGGCTTTCCGAATCGTCGATGAAGACCGTCTACGCGAATGCCTACAAAGAAATTCACAAATATTTCTCTCTAAACAAACCTGATCATATTTCTCAAGTGTCCATCCAGCTCATCACTCAACTTTTGCCAATTCTAAAGCTTTTATCTAAAGATTTCTCCTTTCCTTACCTCATTTTCATCACAAAAATGGACATGTGTTTGCGAGTTGAAACGATTATTCGATAGTCGCCTTTTCTCTCCCATTATATTCTTGGGAACATTAAGAAATGAGTCATCACGAAAAAGGGTTGAAAAATCGTGAACAGCTGTGGTTCTAAAAGTTTTTATAGTCTTCTAGGTGAAATTTTGAAGTATTTTTGCATGCTGCATTCGCCTAAAAAGATGGAAGATGGTTTTTGGACTTAAATCCGAGTTCTAATTGGTAGACTCAATAAAATGAATAGATCTAATTGATCCCGAAAACCCCCGGGTACAGATTTATCTTCTATATCTTCTTATATATCTTCTTTTCATACCATATAATGGAAAAAGAAAAGAATGACTGAGATGTTCTTTGTGCGCGCGCGTAAACGCTGTGGCAATACCCTTTTGAAATCCTCAAATCGCTTGTTTTCTAAAAAGTGTTCGTTTCTGAACGCAAAAGGCACTCTAAAAGGCACTCTTTTCTAGAGCGGCAAAATTTTTTTCATTTTCAGGGAGTGGGACAAATGCGACCTTTTTTTTGCGCACCCGGACATTTGCGCACCTTTTTCCACGCCTTGCCCATTAGCGCACCTTTTTTCGCGTTTTAAAAAAGCTCTAAAAGCTAATATTAACCAATTTCTATTCCAAAAGTTGTTTTTCTAGGTAATTTTAGGGCGTAGAATTCAAATTTTGACATAACAGAGCTTGTGGAACCAATTTGAAAGACAAAACGGCTAGGTCAAATTACAGAAAATTTTTCTCTTTGTATAACTCCGTCCGTTTGTTTCCAGAAGCTCTGACATGTCAAAATTTGAATTCGACACCCTCAAATTACCTAGAAAAACAACTTTTGGAATAGAAATTCGTTAATATTAGCTTTTTAGAGCTTTTTTTAAAACGCGAAAAAAGGTGCGCGAATGGGCAAGGTGAGGAAAAAAAAGTGCGCAAATGTCCGGGTGCGCAAAAAAAAGGTCGCATTTGTCCCACTCCCCATTTTCATTTTATTTCTTCATTTTCTTGTTTGTTCTTTTTTTCTTGTTTTTCTTGTTCTTTTTCTCTTTCTATTTCTATTTCTATCGAAATTTTATCTTTTAAACTAATATTTATTTTTAGAAATAACAAACAATGGAAGATCAATATGATCAAGATCAAGAAAAGGAAGAAATATGATCAAGAAAAGGAGAAGAACACGAACTACGTTCCCAGGTCTATTTTTTTCTGTATATTTCGATATTTTAAAAAATTTACCGGATTATTTCTATGCCTGAGATCAATTTTTTTTTGCCTTAAATCCAGCTGTATTTTTGCCACAAATTCGAATCTTGCACCCCCATTGTGTTACTTAAACAGTTGCTAAACTGAGAGAATAACGAATCCGACCATGAGTTGATAGTTTTATTTTTTGGTTTTCTCAGGAATCTTAGTCCAACCAATCTCTATTTAGTATATCTATTTGAGTAGTAAAATCTCTTGTTAAGGTTGTTCTTGTTCTTGTTCTTGTTCTTGTTCTTGTTCTTGTTAAATCTCTTGTTAATATGAAAATTTTAGATTTAGCAAAGCTCAACCTTGGAATCGAATGTAAACTGTGCCTTCTCGAGTCTCCGCCACTCATCGGTGAGTTGTCTTTGTCGACTTTTAATGGTTTCTCCACTGGTGGAAGGGGTTCTGTTTGCGTGCTAATATGCCTATTTTGTTGATCCTGAAATATTCGTTGATTAGAATTGTATTAACAATTGTTATTATATTAATTGTAAGACAAAACCTCCTCTGAATCCGTTTGTGTTGCACCGGTTCTTTTCAGAAAAAGCGCCGGCGCTGGCTCGGGTGGTGGGAAATTCGCGTTCTCGTCAACAATTTCCGCGTTTGCTTCCTGGGAAATTTCAAAATTAGATGAAATGAAAATTTTGAAAATAAAGCTGAAGACTGAGTTGTAAGCTTTCAGCTTTATTATACGTAAACGTATCGTTTTAGTAAGCCATTATAGTTTTGAGACTCACAATTTTCTTCAAAATACATTCCCCGCCAGCAACAAGACCATCTGCTTCGAGTTTTGCTAAAATTTATTTGGAAAATATAAAACTAGGGTGGGGGTTTTTTTTAAATAGCCTTGAATAGGGTCCTTGGATTGGCCCTGGCCGGAAACCAGGGCCAATCCAAGGATAGAATCCAGACCAGACAAAGCCAAAGCCCGGCCGGAAACCAGGTCCAATCCTGGCTTCAGCCAAGTCTATAGGGTGGCCCATAATTAGTGGCTTATCGTCAAAGCTGAAATTTGGCATTGGGCACAAAAGATTTGAAAAATCAAATTTAGACATTCCAACAAGACGGGGCTTCGGCCTACAAAGGCAAGAAAGTGCACAATTTTTGTAAAGTGAAGTTTCCCGATTTCATCTCTTTTTTTGAATGACCGGATCTCAATCCGATTGATTATTCTGTTTAGTCCATCCTTAAGGCAAAAATCTGCTCAAAATCGCATAAAAATGTTAAAAGTTTGAAGAAAATGCTTCTGAAAACCTGGGATGAACTCGATGATGCTTACTTGGTCGCCACGCCAACGCTTGACAGCGTGCTCGGCTAAAAATGGTGATCGCTTTGAATTTAATCGTTAATTTCTTGTTCATTGATACCAAATAAAGATTTTTAAAACAAAAGAGTTTGCTCTTTAAAGTTTAATTTTGTCTACCTACAAAGCTTTTTATCTACAAAGCACATTATAATTATGGCCCATCCTGTAGAACTATAGCAAAACCAGGGTCCAGATTTCGCTAGATCTAGCAAAATTCTAGTTACCCTAAAGTCGCGAGTATAAGTTCATCCGAATATAAGTTCTGAATTTACATTTAAAGGGCATTTAAAGGGATGGAAAATTTTCTTCTTTCTTTAATTTTTATTGTTTTTTTGTTTTTTTTGTTTTTTATTGTTTTTTTTTTAATTTTTAATTTTACTAACGTTTTTTCATTTTAGATACGATGAGGAGAAAGTCGTACACCGCCGAAACGAAGCTCGAAGCGGTCAAATTTGCGAGGATATTTGGAACGAACGCGGCTGCGATCGAATTTGAAGTCGCCGAACAGATGATTAACCGCTGGAAACAAGCTGAGCCGGCACTGATGACTTCACCAAAAAATAATCGAGCTTAGCGAGGATTGAAGGCAAAATGACCGGATGTGGAGAAAGATCGATATTGTTTCCAACCGAACAGTCGAAGTAATAGGAAAGGGTGATATTTCAATTGCTTCAACGGGAAATGAGAAGACGAATTCCACAGTTGTGCTCGGAATTCTAGCCGATGGATCGAAACTCCCACCGATGCTCATTTTCAAGCACAAGACTCTTCCTAAAGGAATTTTTCCCGGTGTGATCATCAGTTTCGAAGCTAAGCACAGAATTCTTTTTTTATGTCGCTTTAATTGCTTTGAATTTCTTTTTGTTGGGTTTTTATACATTTTTATTGTTATATAAACTTTTATTATTGTTCTTGGAGCGCGGGATACTACAGGGTGACAGCCTATCACCATTGCTATTTGTTATGTGCATGGATACATCCAGACGATAGTGTTGAAGAAGACGCTGGAAAGCATCTCTTTCGACCGTCGACGTGGACTTTGGCCGGATGAAGAGGCCAGGGAGGGATCCATAAGACTGAGCACCGGAGAGGAGCAGGGCGGACGCGCCGAGCCACGCCCGGAGCAACAAATAACAGCATAAAATTGCTATAACCCTCAATAAATTTACTTCTATTGTTCTTAAAAAGCAAAAAAGTTATGCTGCAGCGGGATTCGAACCCTCGACACACCGTCAATTTGCATACAGCCGTCAATTTGCATGCGAAAACCAGACAGAACTTATACTCGCGACTTTAGGGTACTAGTTTCACCGCAAAATTCGCAATCTTGTGCGAATAACTTCTTTCAAATTCAAAATTTTTGTTAGCTCTTTGTTTTTTTTTATAAACTATTAGGTTGGTGAATTGAAAGCTGCGGGACTTTGAACTAAAATTTATTCAACATAAAACCATCAATTCATTCCAAATAATTTCCATTATTATTGACGACTTCTGCCCATTTTACAGGCAATTTGCAGATTCCTCTTTTGTGGTAGGATTTTGGTTTTGAATCGAAAAACTTGAAATCCAATTTTTGACTGCTTCTTCCGGATCGAAGTGTTCTCCCGAAAGCTCATTACTCATGATCCGGAATAAATAGTAATCAGAAGGGGCGAGGTCCGGACTGTATGCGGGATGCGCCAAAAGTTCCCAAGCAAGGCTATTTATTTTAGAGCGAGTCAGTTTTGCAACATGAGGGCGCGCGTTGTCGTGGATGAGAACGATCTTTGACTTGGAGGGTCTATTCTTCTTCAGGGATTCATTCACCTTTCCCAACTGTTCACTGTATTTGATTGCATTAACGGTCGTCTTGCTATCATTCCAAATAATTTTCATTATTATTGACGACTTCTGCCCATTTTACAGGCAATTTGCGGATTCCTCTTTCGTGATAGGATTTTGGTTTGTGTGTGAGACAAGTGTGAGACTCAAAAATGGAGAACTGGAGATGGAGACTGGAGATCCCAGTTTGAGCACTTTCTTCAAAAGAAACCCATTTTGGTGTCAATAGAAAAGTTGTAGAGAATCAAAAATTAGGCTTATAGCCAAATTTCCAAAAAGATACACTTAGTAGTTTCGGTTAAAATGCAAGTTTTGTGAAAATTCGTAAATTTGGCAATTTCTTGAAAACCAGTTTTTGAATCGTTCTGAAAATTTGGATATAAGCCTCATTTTTGATTCTCTACAACTTTTCCATTGACACCAAAATGGGTTTCTTTTGAAGGAAGTGCTCAAACTGTCACAGATGACAATAGCCGGCAGTTTTCAATTCACCAACCCAATAGATGCAATTCTGTGTTTGCACATATAAAATCATTTTGATTGGATGACAAACCAGTCAACAAAATATTCATTGACCATAAACATAAACCAATAAACATTGACCCACTATCCAGCTTTTCTAGCCGATCTATTAACTAGTTAAAATCATTTTTATATTTACAAACGCAGAATTGCATCTAGTTTTTAAAAAGCTAGCAAAAAAAAGCAAAAATGGTCAAGACTTCTGGCTTTTAGCCTGTCCTACCTTGTCAAGCTCGTTAAAATGATCCTTGGCGGATCCATTGAAATCAACTCCACTCACTCACCAGAATTGTTGTTGAATCGTATCCTCAACGTTGTCGCTTCGATCAAATCATCGATATGTTCATTTTCGGAGGTAAGCTCTTGCAATTGACGGGAAAATAGTCGCCCGCCGAGGCTAGCATTTACCTAAAAAAGACTTCTTAGGAAATTGATACTAGTCAGTACTTTTATTAGGATCTCCACCTGATAGAACAGTCTGACAGTCTACTATTGTAGAAGTGACAATAAACTTGATCAGCTTGTTAGCTTTAAAAATTACCTGAAATTACCTACTACCTAAAAATACCTAAAAGTACTTACCTGAAAATTCTCGTCTATATAGCAACCGACGAATGCGTTCACCCGAGGTCTCACCAAATTCAACGCGTTCAAAATCGGTGCCGCGTGTTGCTAAATTTGGATTTGAGTGCCGAATTTGAATAAAAACTAATTAGTTTAATATGTAAACAATTTTTAAAAAAATCTAGTCCTTATAGTACTTGTTAGACTTCTCGCAACTTCTTGCTCACCTTAAACGTAGGCATCTCAACTAGCAGCAAAAATTCGAAATCCAATGCACCGGAAGCTTTTCGAAAGAATGAGATTCGACCCATCTATAAAAATTGAAGATTCTTGAAGTTTGGGTGACTAAACCGGGATTTCTGGGTTGAGAGCATTTCGAAAGAGTCTTGCGCCGGTCCAAGTCTTCCATTGTGAGAGAAAAGCTCTCGAAGCCATATCTTCCATCGTTTTGAAGATGAAAAAGAGGTAGCCTAAGATGTTAAAATTAAAATTCAAGTTAAAATAGTTTGAACGATTCTATTGTGCCGTTCTTACTGTATATTTTCTTACCCATACTCCTCGAATCGATCTTCAGCAATCCGTTAGCCACCCGTGGATCCAAGCCTTGAACGAGTCGAAAAACGCCTATAATAAAAATTAGAGTAGACTTTCTTTCTTGACTTAACCAGTTGTCAGACTGTTGATCTCATCGAAATGTTTCCGATTCTCACAAGTTCCATCGATGAGCGCAATGTCGACAATGGGATACAAGACTGAAATAAGATACTAAATGAAAACTGGAGCTGAAATAAGATACTAAATGAAAAACTGAAACTGAAATATGATACTAATCATAGTAACTAATCACAGATAACTTGAAACTCCAACTTTCAAACTGATCTTGGCTTTACACAAAACATTTTAGAATTTTTGAATTTAGAATTGTCCCTTTTAGAACTCAGAACACTTGGATTACAAAAATATGCAAAAATGTTTAACTAAACTCAAACCATTTCTCTCAACAGTAATCAAGCGCTTCATCGAGATCAGCTCAACACTCGGATCACTGACATCAATGTGGGCACAAAGATCAAAAATCTTGCTCATCGTCTCCCCAAATTCGTAGGGTCGAACGATTAGGTATTGATCGATATTCAGCAACATGTGAGAGTCCATAAATTGGGGTGGAAGACTGCAAAATGAGACACAACTAGGGTAGATTGGGCCGGCTTTTCTCTTTTAGGAAAATTCAATTTTCTCTTCTAGATTTGCGAGCTCAATCATAAGCTGTAAAAGAAGTTTTGACGAGATTTTCGTCTGTTCAACTAAAAAGAGAATGATGTCAGGAAAAGGTATTTCCAAAAAAAAGCATTGGAAACTTATAGTACGCTATATTAAGCTCTACAATAGACCAATACAGTTCGCTACAGTAAGCTCTAATCCCTTCCCTTTTTTCTAAAAACTTCGCTGAAACTCGAGTGTGCCAAAGAGCTTGTGTTTGCGGGAGCACAAAATACACAGTACTCTTTTTATCCTGAGATCCACTGGAAAATTGTGGTTCAATTTGCTGAAATCCCTGCCTTTTTGCTTGAAATCCCTGCATTTCGGTATTTTTTTGTGTCTACGCTGATCAAACACCAGAAAAGTGGTTTGTCTAGCAACGATTAAACAAAATTTCTTTGAAAAGCAATCGATAATGAGAGTGGGACAAATGCGACCTTTTTTTCCGCGCCTTGCCCATTAGCGCACCTTTTTTCGCGTTTTAAAAAAGCTCTAAAAGCTAATATTAACCAATTTCTATTTCAAAAGTTGTTTTTCTAGGTAATTTGAGGGCGTAGAATCGAAATTTTGGCATATCAGAGCGTGTGGAAGCGAACGGACGGAGTTATACAAAGAGAAAAATCAACAATTTTCTGTAATTTGACCTAGCCGTTTTGTCTTTCAAATTGGTTCCACACGCTCTGTTATGTCAAAATTTGAATTCGACACCCTCAAATTACCTAGAAAAACAACATTTGGAATAGAAATTGGTTAATATTAGCTTTTTAGAGCTTTTTTAAAACGCGAAAAAAGGTGCGCTAATGGGCAAGGCGTGGAAAAAAAGGTGCGCAAATGTCCGGGTGCGCAAAAAAAAGGTAGCATTTGTCCCACTCCCATCGATAATTGTTTTTGCTCGATGATTTTCCTACCAATTGTCCTATTTTCTGATTTTCGTACCCCCCAGGCACACTTGTAATTGTAGAGCAGAAACGTTTGATACCTAAAGAATAAAAATGATCTCTCATTTCATTTTAGAAATTATTTATCCTTGAAAATATTTTATAAACTGATCTGGAGACTCAGTTTTGTAGACAAATCGCCGCCAAACCAATTTGTGTCGCGTTCTATTTCGTGCCCTTTTACTGTAGCCGATTTTCCAGTCGCGTTTCTCTTCACTTTTTCATTCATTCATTTCACTTACGTTGCTCGAAGACTTTCTTTTGGTGTAAAAGTATTTATTTTAATGTTTTTATCTTCTCTTATAAGCTCCAACGTCTTTTCTTTAAATGTTTAAAAAATTTACTAAAGAAGCAGCGAAATTGAGCCTAAAATCATTTAGTTTAAATCAGTGGCATGCTTTTATGTTTTTTTTTTCCGTTTTACAAGTGTTGTATCATACTTTTTTCAGTAGCATACTGTCGTATCATACTTGAGCTTCAATTTTCTCTTTCCAGATTCCAATGGATGTGGACAGATCCCTGGACGACCTCATTCGCCATAATGGACGCGGCGCTTATCGGGGTCGCGGAGGTCGCGGAGGTTTGATTCGTGGAGGACGTGGAGGACGCAATGGAAATCAAGGATCATTTGTAGGGATTAGCTTTGAAGTTAAAACTGTTGCTTTACGGTTTCGTAAAGTGTTGAGCACGTCTTTGCTCTGGGGAAACTAAAATTAGTTACGCAGCAATTGTTTTGAAATATTTTAGAAAACTAGCTTACATGGCCAAATAGGTGGGTGACTTTGTCACTTTTACTTAAGAATATTGCTTTTGTCTTGGCGCCCTACCATCCCTACATGGTTGGGTGTATGTAACAGAAGCTAAATAGTGCCCTCTGGGTGTCAGGCTACTTCGGTGCTGGGTGTTCAAATCCTAGTATTATCCTCTGGGCTTGAAACATTTGTCATTACTATTTTTCCGAGAATTTCTATCAAACGTGCATTATTTGATCCGCTTGTCATAATCGTTATAGTTATCTGAATTTTAAAGCTTCGATCTGTTCACTTGATTCATTTTTGCGTTTTAGCAACCTCGAAATCTCTACCTACCCCGGCAACGCCCTTTTGTCATCGGTGGTACTAGTGGGCCCGTTCGCGTCAACATGGCAAACTTGTTCAATGTTCATGTAGAAGATCTTGAGGTAAGCCGACAATTTCTTTTTTTATCTAGTTTCTTGCGATTTCACGAACACTTATACATTCTAAATGTTTAGGAGTTGTTCATAAACTACCCCCATGATGGTATTACAATGCACTACGACGAAAATGGGACCCCCGTGGGAACAGCTGATGTGCACTTCAAGTAAGTTGTGCGTTAGTAGCAATTTTAGCACAACTTTTTAGGGCAAGACCATCGTTTGCGGCAAAGTTGGTGAAAGATTGCAATGGAATGAGGATTGACGGTGTGTCATTTTTCCGATCTTGTAATTGGAGCTTTTTTTATCTTTCAAAGTTTTTTATTACAGGACGCCCGATCAAGTTTTATTTGCTTGGACCACGACCCAATCCGATGTACTTGAGGCCGGTATGTTTTGATTTTAAAAAAGTATAATCTGTTTTATTTAGAGCTTCCGCCCGCCATTTAACCGGCGAAATACGTACACCCACAATAGTGGTCGAATCTTCAAGGTAGCTTGTTTGAAATTAACAAAGTACGTTGTTTATTTAGACTGCAAGACGTGGCGCTGGAACTTTCGGTGGCCCAAAGCCCAAACTAAGCGAGGCTGAGCTGAATGCCCAACTTGATGCTTACATGGCCAAATAGGCGGGTAACTTTGTCACTTTTACTTAAGAATATTGCTTTTGTCTTGGCGCCCTACCATCCCTACATGGTTGGGTGTATGTAACAGAAGCTAAATTGTGCCCTCTGGGTGTCAGGCTACTTCGGTGCTGGGTGTTCAAATCCTAGTATTATCCTCTGGGCTTGAAACATTTGTCATTACTATTTTTCCGAGTATTTCTATCACACATGCATTATTTGATCAGCTTGTGTCATAAAATTGAGCCACGTTTTGTTAAAAAAAGTCCAATTGTCCTCTTATAAAGTTTTCTTTTCAGATTGTGGTGTCGGACAACAAGAAGTTTCGTCTTTGTAAACTTGTTTTCGGGTCTTCCGTCACCAATTTATCCGCCTTTACATTCGCAGGGTATTTTATATAAATTCTTATTTTAACTTTGCTTTTTTTTGTTCTTTGAAGGGAGATTCCATAAGTTGAAATTAACTGAATTCTATGGGAATTCGAGACGTTAAATCAGATTTGTGAATGCGTAACTTTGCCCTCCACACAAATATCGGGTCTTTCTTTCGTTCAATGGGCGCATAAAACACTCCATAAAACAGCGCATTCCTTTGGAATTTCCCTTTACCTCCTAAACCTAATAAGGCCATTTTTTTTGTTATTTTATGGATCTCTATTATTATTCAAAATAATTGAAGTTTTCGTACTATACCTTGTTCTCTGTTTTTTTCAATCAAGACCATGAAATTCTTTTCAAGCCTTTCAATTTATTTATTGCTTTAAATAAATTTTATTTATACCCGTAAAAACAAATAACACATCGCTATCTAAATTTGTTTCGTCTTCGAAATTTAGGGGAGAAATAAACAAGCAGCATTAGGAGAAAACTTCCGAAAGCAAATACAAAAAGTATTAAAACGTTTTGCTGGAAGTCTTTTGGCGAGTAATCGTCGGGGTAGCTGTCATTTAGCCAATCGTTCGGTGTAGGCCATCTAGAATTTTGTCACGTGAAAATTCGATCAATCAAAACATGATAGATGTCGCCGTTTAATTTTGAGATTTTAATGACCTGCAAAATCTCTGAACGGGCGTTGTGTCGATTTGTTCTCGCTCGTCTCGTCGACAACCATTGACCGTTGTTTGATTGATCGCCAGTTCGATCAATGGCCGAGTTGCGTAGCGAAAGGGCAATGCGACCACCAGATGCGCCGCCCAATCAGGGAGGTCGCCCAGCGTTGAGTGGGATCTCAAAAAATGTTCTTAGGATGATTTGAGTTTAAATTTTATGAGTTAGTACAGTAATACTGTAGCATGCAGAGAAAGTTGCCACGTTTTGAAAACGGATTATATGAGAGAAAACTTTAATAAAAAGTTTTAGGGTAGCTCACTCGTTTACCTCATCACTCCTCCACTCATCACCCAAGCAACGGTGAAAGCACTTGAAGTTACCATAAATAGTGAACGAATTTCCCTAAACATTGCTATTTTAAATGTTTTTCTTGCTGATTACCTTATAAATAGCATCAAAATGAGCGTCACGAATTGCCCAATGAGAAAGCAGTCGAGAAAAATGACGAACGATTGGAGGATTGTGAAGAGAGACGAGATTTTGAGGCTCCTAAAAGAAATTTTTTTTTTAAATCTAACAAATTTCCTTACCAAAAGAGTAAAGCTGTGGCACCGGAGATGCCGAGGAAATTCGGGAGAAATGTGGTGATGAGGTAGATGAGAGGCACGGCCAGACTCGGATAGAGACGCTCGTCCGACTCGAGGTAGACGAGGCGCCGGATGGGCTCGACTGGAAATGAGCTCTCTTTCTTCTCCTTTCTCTTCCGCCTTTTATTTCCTCTTTCTTCTCTGGCAAGAAGATGCCGGATAGCGCAGTGATTAGAGCATCTGCCCGGGAAGTAAAAAGGTTGAGGGTTCAATCCCCTAGTTACCGCTTAGTAGGCTTTTATTGTTGATTGACTGACAATTGCTGAGAGATGAGAGATCAGTCTCACATTGATTCCCCTACGTTCAAAGTAGGCATACTTTTGGCTATAACTTTTATAGAATTACTGAATCCTTGACCTTTTTCGGTTCACAAATCTGTGTGATTTTGGGGTTATTTGATAGAAAATACACTCGAATTACATCAAAATCTTGATCAGGAAAGTTTATGCAAAAATTATGATCAAAAGTACTGGGATTTCGATGAGCTAGGGCACTAATGCCTCAGAATCTGACACTTGTCAAAGAGCAATAAATTTCTGATCATTTACAAGGAAAATAAAGCTCAATGCTTTCAAGATTTCTTTCGTTTTTGACATAAAACATTTCATTTGAAGCTCAAAAGCTGCACTTACATGTGATGATTGTTGAGAGTGAAGCTGTCAACGTGATCATCCACGTTATGATGCTCATTTGTAAAGCCATCGAGTGAGGAATGGTGTAAGAGTGATTGAGAGTTGAGGCGGTGAAGAGAGAAAAGAAAAGAATGAAGAGTGGGAGGCTGAGCAGTGTCCAGAAAAGAGCACTTAATCGGAGCAATGTGCAGTTGATCGTTCTTCTGGAAGTTGATCGTTCAATAAGATGTCTAGAGTTTTAAAAGGCTTACCCCATGAGGATCTTCAATTGACTGATTAGACCTGGTCGACTTCCGTTGCACAAGGCAGCGCTCGTCGAGAGGCCGATCGGCTCGGTAAGGTTTGAACGGGTGTTTCCAATGATCGGGAAGTAATTCTGAAAATAATTCTCAACATTTTTAGCTCTTTAGATTCAGAATATAGTAAATATTCTAGTAAAGATGTTTTTGGTAATCTAAAAAAGTTCAACCACCACTATTCGAAGTCTTTGACCAAAGACTTCGAAGTCTTTGACTTGCTTGTGCTAAGCAAGTCGAAGACTTCGAACCAGGAACAACCAAGATAGGAAACACTGGATGACAATAGCAAGGGATAGAGAAATTTGGAAGCAGGTTGTGATCTGCGCAAAATAGGAACATCTAAGTGCGAAGACAGATTAAAAAAAGTTACAGTCTAAAGAACTTTAGTCATTATCTACCATAATCATTTCCATTTACACTGGGTTTCTTTTTGATCTCATCGGAAGACCAGCAACGAGGTGGAGCACAAGAGTGACAGAGATGGTCGGAAAAAGGATGGCTAGAGTGCAACCACCACCAGCACAAGCAAGTCGAAGAATTCGAACCAGGAACAACCAAGATAGGAAACACTGGATGACAATAGCAAGGGATAGAGAAATGTGGAAGCAGGTTGTGATCTGCGCAAAGTAGGAAAATCTAAGTGCGAAGATAGATCAAAAAAAAATTCAACGGGATGTGATCTTTTGGAGATGCAAAATCAATCGGGCTTTTTGAATCAGAATCAAGAAGATAGAGTTAATGGAGTTAATTTCATCAAAGAAAGCAAAGATTAGGGCGAAATCTCTTGAATTAACCTATTGAACTATAATCTTTTCCCTTATAACGTACCCGAAAAGCCTCGACCAATTTGATTGCTTGTTCTTGAGTCTCAGTGAAACGCGTCGCATTCTCACGATCCACCGTCACAAGAGAAACTGAGGAAATAGGGAAAATATAGAATTTTTTTGTCTAGATAACTTTTTAAAGCACTTACTTAGATAAGAAGCTGGATTTTCGGCGATCGGACAAATGAAGCCGAGTTGATGGAGATAGAGAGGTAATTTGCTGGTTTGACCTTGAATGCTTTAATAAGAAAGAGATAATATTACAGTATTAAGGCCAGGAGAGACGAGGCTAGAGTATCAAGTCCTGATCGAAGAAAAACCCCTGAACCTGGCCCAAATCCAAACCTAACACCTGGCCAAAATCTTGGCATTTCGCCTAGCCTGGGTTAGGCTTAGATCTAGTTTAAACCATGTCGAATCAAGATTTGTTTATTATTCACCTGAATAGACAGATTCTCCATAATACAAAAGAGTGAGGCGATCGAGTAGCTGAGCGATATCCGATCTCGGCACTCGCAGAGAGATCACCGCCATTCGGCGATGTCGCTTCACAAAGGACTAAATACCGTAAATACTCTGAGTCGGGTACACTCGCGTCTTTTTAGAAACCTTTTTTCCTCAGCCCTAGATTTTCCCTAGCTAGACTTTTGGTACTAAAAATACTAGATTTCAAGGGCTATCATTTGACACTCAAGCGCACACTGTAGTATAAAGCAGCGCGGAGAACGAGACATTCAAAGTTAGACAACGGGGCTGTAGGAGAACGGGATGTCTAAATTTAGACTACGCGGCTGTACGAGAACGAGACGTTCAAAGTTAGACTACGCGGCTGTACATCCATTATAGGAGGTGGCATTCTAGAGTATTTACGGGATTTAACAAGGATCAAATATTGATAAGTACTTGATTCTAAAACAATCTTCAAAATTGAATCTATCTTAATGTTTATAGCTTGTTACCTGCAAGCAAAGCATGAGTTGATAGGCGGATAACGGCTCTAAATGACGAATCGGATCATCGGCAATGATGAGAACTGGATCTTTGGCTGTGGCGATGGCAAGGAGGAGACGTCGACGAGAACTCTCCGACAGATCACCCACACATTCATGACCGTATCCCAGCAGTTCCCACTCGTTCAGCAATGAAAGTAACTAAAAAAGTGGGATTTTCTATCGTTACAATCTAGTTGTAAGCTTTCATTCAAAACAAATCACTCAAAACAAATCCATTTAAGTTGCTCAAGTTTGTACTCCAAAGTTGTACGACCCGGAATTGATCCAGCCGAATTGATCTCGTCCTCCGACCGGGAGACAAGATCGTTAACCACTTGGCCACAAGGCAAATGGCTCGGCTTGAGGTTTTAAGCTTAAACCTTTTGTAAGTTGGATTTAAACATTTTTTGACTTTATTGCTTAACAGCAAGATATTTTGAAGGGTGTCTATCAGATCGTGAAATTCAATCGTTGACTTAACTCCCGCTGAAGTGAGGGTGATCAAGTGCGTTGTGGCGTAATGGTTAGCACAGGCTAAGCGAAAGGTCGTCGGTTCGAGCGCCCGGCGGCGCACGAGTTTTTGATTTTCCCTAGTTCCAACTGGCGACCATGGAAGGATCGGCTCTGCATTACTGGCTAAGGTCTTCATACCTAGTTTCGAGCGCACCCTAGGCCTATAAATCAAGACGTGTGGAACCGTCCAGAGAGCAGGAAAGTTAACTCCCTTTGGAGTAAAGGCACTAGTGACGTTGTGGTATAATGGTTGCTGCCGCCGCTGCCGGCTAAGCGAAAGTCACCGGTTCGAGTCCCGGCGTTGCACAAGTTTTGCTCTGCCCTAGTTCTATTTTCCTAAATTTACTAGATTTATGTGAGATTCCCAGTGAAACTTTGTTTACTTTTCAATTCGAAACCAACCCGATCCTCGATTTGCGCTGATGTTAAACGGCCGCTCAGCGTCAAACGCAGTTGATAGTAAATGGTTTGTCGGACGGTGAGAAAGGGCAACAAGCGCACTCGCACATCAACAAATGAGCACATTTTACGGAAACGAGATGCTAAAAGGCTTTGCAATGATTGCAATGATTCAAAAAGAATCCTTTTCTAATATCAAGCATTTACCTGTCAAAAGTTGTTTATTTAAAAGCACAGTGCCACCGATACTTCCACAAGCTTTCGCCGCGATTACATTAAGAAGCGTTGATTTTCCAGATCCTAAAGCAAGAATTGGTGTCAGTTATTGAAGTATATTATTGAAAATATATTATTTGACAAGTTTTTTTACCGGAAACCCCGCAGATTCCAGCGATTTCCCCAGCGTTGAGCTCGAGAGAGACCTCGCGGAGGAATTCAGCGACAATCGGCGGCGTGTACAACCGGGAGCACCTGAAATTTAATAGAATTTCATAAATACCTTGTCTAGAGTTTTATGTTATGCTTGTTATATCTCTACTCGAAGCTGATACAGGAGACAAGCAGAAAACTTTCAAACTTTTTAGACACACCTTTTCCAAGCATCGTAGAAACTTTTACAACCTTTAGCTTTAAAACTTTTCTGTTTTCTTATCGTTCAGAGCTTGATCAGAGCTTGATCAGAGCTTGACCAGAGCTTGATCAGAGCTTGATCAGAGCTTGACCAAAGCTTGATCAGAGCTTGACCAGAGCTTGATCAGAGCTTGACCAGAGCTTGACCAAAGCTTGATCAGAGCTTGATCAGAGCTTGACCAGGGCTTGATCAAAGCTTGATCAGAACTTGTTCAGAGCTTGATTTTTAAATCTTAATCAGGACTTAGGACTATGATCTAGAAAAAAAAGATATGTCTCATATCTAGACTAGATTTGCTTACAATTAAAAAGTCAATCTCAACCACTAAACCATTGAAAGACATACAAAAAGACAAAAATCCTTTTTTTCGCATAAATATCTAAATATCCACATTTACTAAAGTGTTCTATGCAAGGCTTACAAGTGAAGCTATTCTATTCTGATTAGAATGAGCACTACAAACGTAATTTGCTACAAACGTAAAGCGCTTCTAATTTTCTTTAAATCTGTCGAATTGACATGATCTATAGCTTAAAAAATAGAGAATCTCAAGAGCTTTCGAATGGATTAAAGCACACACAAAAATCTGAACGCTAAAGAAAGTTACAGTGGTTTTTAACCTGACTTGATCGCTTCGACTTCGATCCGACTAAAAACCACTGTAACTTTCTTTAGCATTCAGATTTTTGCGTGTACTTTAATCCATTCGAAAGCTCTTGAGATTTTCTTTTTTTTAAGCTATAGATCATGTCAATTCGACAGATTTAAAGCAAGTTAAAAGCCTCGTCATTTTGTATTTTCTAATTTCCATATCTAATTCTGAACTTACCATGGTCCCCGGTGAACGGTATTCACAAAAGAGAGCCCACGGCACTCCAAAAGATGAGACTCATAAACGCTGGGAATTCCCGAGAACATTTTGCGACATTTTTCTAGAAGAAACGATAGTTGAACAGGTTTTGAATGCAGAAAATGCAGATGAATGCATTTTCTAGAAGTTCTAGAAGTCTTCAAGAAGTTCTTCTAGAAGAAAGAGTTCAAAATGGAAAAGTACGGTAAAAGGTTGAGTACTTCAATGTCAGTAAATTTTGGATTTGGTAATCAAGGGGAATTCAGGTGTAGTTTCGAGAAACGATCGAAATTTGAAAAGGAATTATTGTGGATGGAGGACAGGTGGCCCCTTTTCGATTTCCTTTTCGCCATTCTCGTAATTATCGACCTCGTTCGATGTTGTGCCTCTTCTTTTTGCTTCACCAAACCACAAAACACTGGAAAGGTTTTGAGGAAGGAGTTTGAGGAAGGGTTTTGAGGAAGGGTTTTGAGGAAGGGTTTTGAGGAAGGGTTTTGAGGAAGGGTTTTGAGGAAGGGTTTTGAGGAAGAGTTTTGAGGAAGGAGTTTGAGGAAGGGTTTTGAGGAAGGGTTTTGAGGAAGGGTTTTGAGGAAGGGTTTTGAGGAAGGGTTTTGAGGAAGGGTTTTGAGGAAGGGTTTTGAGGAAGGGTTTTGAGGAAGGATCTTGAGGCATCTTGAGGTAAAAATATGAAATTTATTGCATTGTTTATTTAGATTTTTTAAAAACTTAAATTACACGGAGAAAACTGACAACTTAAAGTCTAGAAATGGGCAGAAAAACGAGTAAATACAAAATGAATTATGTCGTAGCCGTCCGAATTCTAATTGATCAACTCGAATGAAATGAATAGCTTCAATTGATTTCCGATCTCGAAAATCCCCCGGTCACAAATCTACAGCTGAATATCCTCTTTTGAGCCATCTATAAAGCAAAAGAAAAATCAGTGCAGGTGTTCTTTGTGCGGCCACATAGTCGCTCTCCATCTGGCAAACCGTCTGGGTGTAGACAAAACCAAGAGAAAACATTAGCTCAAAATAAAGTTGAATTTTCAAAGTGCAGCCAGGATAGCCTCTTTAAGCTTGGGTTGGATCTGGTGTTAACTTATTTTAATGCTAAACAATCAATCAAATAATAATGGAAAATCATTTTAATAGCAATCAAGTAATGGAACAAAATAACCATAAAATTCTAGAAATAACAAAGAAAAAAAAAATCGATTGACTGGTATAGAATGAGGTCGGAAAAGAGTGAAGTGAGAGGCAACTTCTTTGAGATTTCTTTGCCTCTTTTTCAGTTCAAGTTTTCAAGAGAAGCGATTGAAAGAGTACAGAAGTGAAGAGTACAGAATGGCGACACTCAGCGGGTGGCTGAGACTGAGGAAAGAAATCGGAGGAAAGGTTGATCTCTTTGATTGAGGAAACTTTCGAAAAACAATTTTCGAAATTTGATTTCGAATTTGCTCAATTTTTTCAATGCTTATCTTTATTCAAACTTTATAATAACATTTTTTTTTAAATTTCTAATTCTTTCTTGTTTCTCTATTGATCTAATCCCTCGGCGAGACGAATGAGTTTGATGAAAGAGAAAGGTTCGAAAGCGATTCCCGTACCACCATAGAATTTCGATTGAAACTCGACCCTGAAAAGTTTGGAATTTGTTCTTTTTGGCTAATAGATATTAAGGGGAGTGGGACAAATGTGATCTTTTTTTTGCGCACCCGGACATTTGCGCACCTTTTTTTCCGCACTTAGCCCATTAGCACACCTTTTTTCTCGTTTTAAAAAAGCTCTAAAAGCTAATATTAACCAATTTCTATTCCAAAAGTTGTTTTTCTAGGTAATTTTAGGGCGTAGAATCGAAATTTTGGCATAACAGAGCGTGTGGAAGCGAACGGACGGAGTTATACAAAGAGAAAATCAACAATTTTCTGTAATTTGTAATTCTGTAAGCCGTTTTGTCTTTCAAATTGGTTCCACACGCTCTGTTATGTCAAAATTTGAATTCGACACCCTCAAATTACCTAGAAAAACAACATTTGGAATAGAAATTGGTTAATATTAGCTTTTAGAGCTTTTTAAAACGCGAAAAAAGGTGCGCTAATGGGCTAAGTGCGGAAAAAAAGGTGCGCAAATGTCCGGGTGCGCAGAAAAAAAGGTCGTATTTGTCCCACTCCCGATATTAAGCTCTCCAGAAAGCTAAGAACTTCACAACCAATATATCTTAAGCTCTCCAGCAAAATCCTAGAAACAACAAAGAGAAAATCGATTGACTGGTATAGAATGAGGTCGGGAAAGAGTAAAGTGAGAGTCAACTTCTTTGAGATTTCTTTGCCTCTGTGCTGAGTGCTTTCAGTTCAATTCTTTCAATCTTTTCCTTCCGATTTTACAGCTAGTGAAACTCCAAGATTTTATAGTTCTAATAGATTTGTAAATTGATATCTGGTCGTTAACATTGCTTGATTAGGCAAGATTTCACACGTTCCCAAAGCCAAAGCTAGCCAAGTTCATGAAAAAGCCCTGCTATGGCGAAGAGGTAAACAATTGGTTTGAAATCAAGGGGAATCGAACCCTCAGTGGCCTCTGAACCCTTCTGCTTAACAGCCAGGCTGGCTCTACCACTACTAGGCACTCTATATCCAGTTAAATCAAGCTCTCTTAGTTTTAAATAGAGTTTTACATGCTAGAGTGTAAACAAGTTTTCACACGAACCAATGTAAACGAAGTGCGTGCAGAAAAGCTGAGAGACCCTCCATCAAGATGAGAATTGACACGGAAAGGACGGCGAAAATGGAGAAGAAGATGAAAATCATCACCGCGCCCAAGTAGCTGAATGTTTGAGTTTTGTTTTTTGAAAGCTAATTCCAGAGCCAAAATTGTTATGGTTTCTAAATTTACCCAGTTGAAAAGGTGAGTCCCATGTGGAAAAGCATGTCCCATAACACTTCGGAGAGCTCTGAAAAGGGTGCTTTTGATTGTGAGAAGTAAAATAAAGAAGAGCAAACAGTCTGAACTCAAGAGGAATCGAACCGTCGGAGGCTTCCGAACCCTCCTGCTTACCAGCCAGAAGCTCTACCACTGAACTATCGGCGCCCTTTTTCTCCGAGAAGAAATAGGAAACACAAGGAAGAAGAAAGGAAAAAAGAGGGGAAAGGTTTTCAAAACGTTTTCTAAAATATGTCGAAAGCTATCGTAATCTTTCTTTAGATTTAGATTTAGATTTAGATTCTTTAGATCTACTTTTATATCACTTACGAGCATGAGCGAGTGAAAGAGCCCAAAGACGAAGGTACGAGGCTGTGTGTGAGACACAACCCAACGCGAACTCGATTGTATGAATCGCTTGGTAGACCATCACATCACCAAAGTTGAACTAAATGATTTTATTGTATGCTTTGATTGTGTTTGAAAATTCAAATATTTAGGTAAATATTTTTTATGATTTCCATGCTCACCTCTCCAGTATCGTCTTCTCCATGTCCATGTCCACCAGAAATCGGCACTCCTCGCTTGTGTTGCATCCTGGAAAATTACCTTTTTGAAATAGGCAGCTCTAGCTCTAGCTCTAGCTCTAGCTCTAGCTCTAGCTCTAGCTCTAGCTCTAGCTCTAGCTCTAGCTCTAGCTCTAGCTTGCTTTCTCTAATCGTAAGGCTTCGTTGAAACATGGGATATTTTAGATCTAAGCTATTCTTTTCTATCACATTAAAACTTACAATTGATAAATGGGCTTGACGAGCAACATAACCGGGATTGAAAGCACAGCCACCGCCAAAAGGATCTGCTCGGCCATAGCCTGAAAAGTACAAAGTTAAAAGAATATATCTTTTCTCGAAAATCTGGATTTTTAAAAGATTCTTTTCATTGTGAAAGCTACCCAAAGCCAATTCGACGCTTAAAAAGAATGTCCAAAAACAACAGAGCCAAAGATTTTTTTGAGAGAGGAAAGGGATAGTAAAATGGTAAAAGTCTAGTAGTCTAGTCTAGTCTAGTACTAGTAGTAAAATGGAAAGATGGAAAGATGGAAAGATGGAAAGATGGAAAGATGGAAAGATGGAAAGATGGAAAGATGGAAAGATGGAAAGAAAAAGATGGAAACTGTTTTGTTTGATTTAGATAAAATAAATATTTCTATTTAAAATTGACTCATTAATAGCCAATCCAATAGCTTTGCACTAATGAAAAGACCCAAATTTTCGAGAAGAACCATCTTCCTTTTGCTACTTTCTAAAAGGCACAGATTTTCGAAAACTTTTGTAAAGCTATTAGTCAACCTATTAGTCAAACTATTAGTCAACAATAGCTTTCTAGAAAGTAAAACCCTTTTACCTGTCCAGGATACCACAATTGAAGATAGCATTGATCGAATTGTTGCGTCTCATCATCGTAATTCGGTACGTTTCCCTTGACGAAACCGTCATCGCGCGATTTCATCATGAACATGCTGATTAAACCTAGATTCGTAATGTTAAGAGATCGTTAAGAGAAAATTTGGTACTTTTGTAAACGTATCAAGCTCAAATATCAGTAACTCACCGATGAGCAACGATGGAGCACAGTTACTGCCCGGATACCAATTACCAAAGATGAACTTTCCGTCAACATAGAAGAAAAGCCATTTGATGATAACCTAAAAATCTTAAATAACTGAAAAGAGTTGAAAGTAAATAAACCTGTATGCAAAGATAGACGAAAATGCAGCATAAGAATAACATTTGCGGGATGAAAACAAAAATCACATCAAGCCAAGAACGATTGTAGCTGAAAAAGGGGAGAAAATTGTCAAATTCAAGGGTTTTTGGTTGCCGATTCAAGCTCAAAAGTACACCTGTGCTTGAAGCTTACTTGAAGCTTACTTGAAGCTTACTTGAAGCTTACTTGAAGCTTACTTGAAGCTTACTTGAAGCTTGGCTTGAAGCTTACTTGAAGCTTACTTGAAGCTTACTTGAAGCTTACTTGAAGCTTACTTGAAGCTTACTTGAAGCTTGGCCTGAAGCTTACTTGAGCTTACCTTGAGCTTACTTGAAGCTTACTTGGAAGCTTACCTGAGCTTACTTGAAGCTTACTTGAAGCTTACTTGAGCTTACCTTGAGCTTACTTGAAGCTTGGCTTGAAGCTTACTTGAAGCTTACTTGAAGCTTACTTGAAGCTTACTTGAAGCTTACTTGAAGCTTACTTGAAGCTTACTTGAAGCTTACTTGAAGCTTACTTGAAGCTTACTTGAAGCTTACTTGAAGCTTACTTGAAGCTTAGCTTGAAGCTTACTTGAAGCTTACTTGAAGCTTGGCTTGAAGCTTAACTTGAAGCTTAGCTTGAAGCTTAGCTTGAAGCTTAGCTTGAAGCTCAGCTTGAAGCTTACCTGAAAACTATCGCTTCTGAAGGCTAAAGCTTTCGCTTGCTCCAAGTCTACAATAATTACACAAATCTCAAGACTTACACATGATTTAGCAATGAAAGCATGACACCGAAGAACATTTGCGAGATTCCAATGCAAATTGACATTTTCATTTTCATTGGATTCAAGAAGTTGAGCTTGTTCTTAGCGAGATTCCACACAGGATCGACTCCCCAAGGATATGGTCCCTGAAGAGTTAATGGTTAAATAGTTTTCTAAAACTATCGTAATCTTTTCTTTAAAAGTTGTTACTTTTAAAGAACTAAAGAACATACTTTAGAAAACGGATTGTTCGATAAGAGCTTTTATAAGTGATCTTTACCGAATCGTGATCAAAAGCAGGATTGGGGCTGAAAGTGAAGTCGAGATCTTGATCCTGAGTCGCTCCACGTACCTCCCAAACGGCCAAATCGGTGTAGCTGAAAAATGGGAACGATGGTCGACTGATTGAGGTTGACTCGACTGGTTGAGTCGACTAAGAGGCTTGTGTCTTAGACTGGAGGTGAAGGGTTCAATCCCTCCTGTTAGACTGTTAACTCCATATAAATGGGTCTTTTTTCTTTCTCCCTAACATTTACGGCTTGCTAGTATAATGTTTTTCCGCATTATTCATGTTTTTTTTTTTAAATTTAAACATCTAAATCTATTAAATATTAGTGTATTCTTTTTCTAACTTTTAAGCTGTACTTTGAACATATTTCTGAATGTATTCTAAATGTATTCTGAACATATTCTGAACGTATTTTTCCACTCACTTGATCGGATTTGTCCACTTGCTTCCAAAAATGTTTACAGATTTTGAGTAGAAATCATTGTAGAGAGTTCCTAAAAGGTTTTCGAAGGTTTAATTAGTCAAAAAATTTAAGTACAGTTTTAAAATCACCTGTATAAATGGAGAAAGCACCCATCAGAATGATCACATAGCGACCACCAAAGAAAGTGTTGAAGATCTGAAGGGAAAGTTTGATGTAAAGCTTTTGTTGGCTTAGCCTTTTTGGCTTAGCTTAGTGATAAGTCTAAATAAATGTTTTATCGGAAAATCTTTATATTATCGAATCTTTATATCAATTTATCAATTATAAACAATTCAATTCACTTAATTCACTTTGGATTTATTCAATTCACTCAATTCACTCAATTCAATTCACTCAATTCACTCAACAATTCAATTCACTCAATTCATTTTGGATTTACCTCGTCTTTGATTTTCGCGGCGATGATTTTCTTCTCGAAGATGAGGAAAAGGAGTGCCGTTAAGAACATGACAATACCGTGACCGGCATCACCGAACATGCAAGCGAAAAGGAATGGGAACGAAATGATCGTCCATGGAGCTGAAAAAAGATATGGTCTCAAATGATCTCAATCTCAAATGATTCAAATTTGCGTCCAGATTCAAGTCGTCCAAATTCGAAAAAGTACTTGGAAACTGGTCTAGAACTGTTGTCTAGAATTATCTAGAATCTAGAACGATTATCTAGAACAACAGAAGAATCCATTATCTAGAAAAGTGAAAGACTCACCTGGATTCACCTCTCGATAGTTGGCGATACCGTAAGCGTCAACGATGTTCTGGAAACCGAGCGTGAATTTGTTTAGCTTGAAATAGGTGGGCGGGGTTTCGTGGGTTTCCATCTCGTTCAATACTGGCATCACCGTTGAGCCGGACATCTCCTGAAAAGAATAGGCTGTTCAGAAAGTTTTTTTGTCATCGCTTTTCGGGGTCTTCTTGCCATATACTACCTATTTTCCTATGTTTCTTTTTATCAGGTGCGTTTGAGGACAGGTTGTAATACCCAAGATTGTTCTAAAGTCAACTTTAGGCCAAGACAATTTCTGGCCTAGGCTGGACAATCCTGGGTCAGGTCGCCAGAGTCCTGGGTCAGGTCGCCAGAGTCCTGGGTCAGGTCGCCAGAGTCCTGGGTCAGGTCGCCAGAGTCCTGGGTCAGGTCGCCAGAGTCCTGGGTCAGGTCGCCAGAGTCCTGGGTCAGGTCGCCAGAGTCCTGGGTCAGGTCGCCAGAGTCCTGGGTCAGGTCGCCAGAGTCCTGGGTCAGGTCGCCAGAGTCCTGGGTCAGGTCGCCAGAGTCCTGGGTCAGGTCGCCAGAGTCCTGGGTCAGGTCGCCAGAGTCCTGGGTCAGGTCGCCAGAGTCCTGGGTCAGGTCGCCAGAGTCCTGGATCTCACTACTGGGGATTTGGACCGGCCTAGACGGACTTTTAATAACTAGACTTGCTAACAATTACAAGCCTAGGTTACTAAATTGATAGACTTGCCTTGCTGATAAAGTCTTTTCATTCATTTTTGTGCTTCGTTTAAAATCAACAAATGCATCAATTAAACTAGGGTTTATTTCATTAAAAACATCAATTATTTTCATGTAAAATAACATTAAATATCTTTATATTTGTCTTAAAATTTCCGTGAAAACTCTTAAATCATTCTGCTCATACAGGGCCGATAATTATGACCTATTAGTCATCTCTTGTACTTTCGTTTACACCAAGACCAAGACCAAGACTTGAGCCACTTAAACTTTTTCAGAAATTTGAAACGGGGAAAACCCTATAAAGATTGAGAAGATTTTAAGCTCAAAAAACCCAACGGTTCCCCTGCGGAGAGCATCCATAACCATCGACATATCCGCAGTCGGCATCCAGCACTCGGCGATCAAGCATTTCTGCGTCACATCAATTGAGAACATGTTCAGAGTGTGGAAAATTGACTTGATTTTTAGGACCTGAAAGGGATAAACGTTGAAGTGATTAGTGATTAGCCTTTAAAATCTTCAATTTCTCCAACCTTGAAGCTCCACAGCTTCACATTCATCCCAGAAGCGAGAACGACACGGCGGCGATGCTCGAGAGTTTTGTTGAGCACTGATTGCATGTCTTCTACCTGAAAATAGCTTCGATATGTAAATTATAGGTTAATCATATGTAAATTGTAAATGTAAATACCGTAAATACTGTAATAGTACCCCACTCCCATAAAGACGGTGCGGAGTGTTGCGTAGTCTAGCTTTGAACACGTTTTTCTCGACACTGGTTTAAGCTACAATGCGCGCTTAGGTATCAAAAAATAGCTGAAATTCAGTGCTATTTTTTGATACCTAAGCGAGCATTGTAGCATAAACCAGTGTCGAGAAAAACTCGTTCAAAGCTAGACTACACAACACTCCGCACCGTCATTATGGGAGTGGGGTACTATTACAGTATTTACGGTATGTAAATTTATATGCAAATAAATTTATATGCAAATTTGGTATCTTGATTTACTTGGGTGTTGATTTGAACGAGGAGGCTGGCTCGCTCGACAACGTTATCCGGACAGTTGTAGATCTCGGCATGGAAACTGAAATCACTTTTGTATGCACTGATTCGAATATAAAGATAATGTTATATGATAATTTGTTTTGTTATTTGTTTTGTTATTTTTTTTGTTGTTTGTTGTTTAATTTTCTGAACAAACCCCTGACAAATCCTCTTGACACGACTACGCAACGCCTCACCGGAGAAGAAAAGAATGAAAACAGCTTTCTCGGTTGGAACGTCGGCTAACCCAGTCACCTAAAAATTGAGAATTTGCCTTCCCAAAGAATTTTGATCTTTAACTTTCCAGACATTCTTTCCAGACACAATAGATTACTGTAAAGCAAAAAAAAAATTGGCCTACAATAGTCGAGCAATGCTTTTAAAAGCGCTAACTAATCAGAAATTGCTTAAAAGTTATCTGAATTTTTTTGTACACTGATTACAAATTGTCACTAATAGGTAGTCAAATATTTAAACAAACATTTGGAATTGAAATATCCATCATTCGAACGAACACCTTTCCACGGCACATTCGCCAAAGAAAACGCTCGAAAGTGGCTCCCTTTGAGCGCTGGATTACTCCAGTGACAAATCTGTAAAGCATTATCAACCATTATCAACTTAGAAAAGTTTCCTCCTCCATTTGTTCTATATTCTTTTTCGTTTACCCACTTTAACTCTGTGCTTTCTCTGTTCTCCTTGTCGTATTGATCGAAATTGGGTGTGATTCCGACTTGAATTGGTCCCGCTTCTCCGCGCGCTGCTTCAGAGATTGATTGAGCTGCATGCATGCGAGAGCCCTAAGATTTTTATAGTTTTTTAGATTTTATAGAAATCTAATCTCTCTAAAGCAAATCTAAAGCAAATCTAAAGGAAAACTACTAGTTAAATAGACTAACTCTTTAACGACTCTAATTAAACGACTCTAGCTAACTACACTAGCTAAACGACTCTAGCTAACTACACTAACTAAACGACTCTAGCTAACTACACTAACTAAACGACTCTAGCTAACTACTCTAGCTAACTACACTAACTAAACGACTCTAGCTAACTACTCTAGCTAACTACTCTAGCTAACTACTCTAGCTAACTACTCTAGCTAACTACTCTAGCTAACTACTCTAGCTAACGACTCTAGCTAACTACTCTAGCTAACTACACTAACTAAACGACTCTAGCTAACTACTCTAGCTAACTACTCTAGCTAACTACTCTAGCTAACTACTCTAGCTAACTACTCTAGCTAACTACTCTAGCTAACTACACTAACTAAACACCTTGATATTGTTGTTGATGTTCACCAATATTCTTCTCTCAATTTCAAGCTCTTCATTGCCTTAGTACTCCTTTTGTCTTTCTCATTTTTGGAATGTCCAGTTTTCTCTCATCATTTCCCCTTATCAAATGTTTTCCTTTGGGAATATGGATTGAGAGGAAACCGAAAACCAATGTCTGATCTTTTGAGGAATTTCCTGAGATAAGTTCTTTTCGCAAAAATGATGCAAAATTATTCCACACAAATTACACAAATTAATAAAAATAGCAAAAATATAATGACATTTCATTCGAATTTAATTCATTTATTCGTAATTTACGATATAAAACTATTTTTGTGTGAAAATCTGGATTTAAGCTATATAGGAACCCGACTAACGGCGGGTTTTTCTCGATGTTTTGGGGACGAACGGCTTTTGTCGCCGTGGAGCAGTGGATAACGCGCCGGTCTATCGCCCATACGGTCCGGGTTCGACCTCCCCGTGCGACTCGAATTGTGCTTTTTAAAAAATCCAAAAGCACGTTGCACAACTACATTGAATTCCCTATTCAATTGCACAAAATTCATTGCAAACGGTCCTCTGGGAGCTGAGGAGTAACAGACAGACGGACGGACGGGCAGACAGACGAACAGACAGACGAACAGGCAGACGAACAGACAGACGAACAGACAGACGGACAGAGAAACGGACAGGCAGACGAACAGACAGACGGACAGACAAACGGACAGGCAGACGAACAGACAGACGGACAGGCAGACGGACAGACGGACAGACGGACAGACCGACGGTCAGACAGGTGGACAGACCGACGGTCAGACAGGTGGACAGACAGACGGACAGACGGATAGACGGACTAACGTCTTATTTTCCTTATATATAGTAGATACCTTTTGAGAAAAATAATTTTTACTTAAAGTTTTAGAAATTTGACACAAAGTGACTTTTTTGAACAGTAGCGAGGAGTAGTACTGAGGAGTAGCGCGCACAGACAGACGGACAGACAGGCGTTTTAGTCCCTTTATATCTAGTAGATATCTATACTAATATAGATTTCACCTTTCGAATCGGCGACTCATTGCTTTCCTAAGAAAATTTGATAGATTATTGTTCAATTCTTCGAAAGGAAATCAAGAATACAAACCGAATCGAGGAGCACTTTGACACTTTCAATAACAGCTCGCATCTCCATCAATTGAGTGAAATTCTTCTGCAAAACTTTCGTATTTGCATTGATCGAGATGAGCTCCTCCTCGACTTTCTCAAGATTTGCCTGAAAATTTGCTGAATTGCTGAATTGCTGAATTGAAAATTGCTGAAAATCATTTGCCATATAACAAACAAAATGCTAAAAATAGCTAAAGTCGATAATTACAGTAAAACTGTAATAAGTATAGCTTAGAATTCTTAGATAAAGATGAATTCTTAATGGAGAGATTCTTAATGGAGAGATTCTTAATGAAGAGATTCTTAATGAAGAGATTCCTAATGAAGAGATTCTTAATGGAGAGATTCTTAATGAAGAGATTCTTAAGGAAGAGATTCATTCTCTTCATTCTATTCATTCTATTCATTGTATTCAAATACAAGTTTAAATCCAAACCTCGAGCTCGGTCATCTCTTTCGGCTGCGGGGCCTTGATGTACATGTTGGCGTCGTCAACCTCCAAGCTGTCCTTGACCACCTCTTCCTCGATGAATCCTAAGATCAAATTCCCTTGTTCTTAAGATCTTAAGATCTAAATCTTAAGAAAAAAAATAATAATAAAAGAACTTGATGTTAAACTCACTCAATTTGCGCTCCATCTCATCGCAACGGCGGATTTCGTTGACGAATTTGCGTTGATAGTTGTTCGCATCACCGTTTAACTTGAAAGAAAAATTTAAATTACACAAAGAATAGAAGAATTATGCCTATTTTTCTATAAAAACTACTGTATTTTTAAATTTATATATATCTATTATGTCCGATTTCGATTTTTAGATCTAAATCAGACATAACATATACCGTATTTTCTGTAATAGTAGTGCGCACTACTATTTTTTCAAGCCCCCTCCAGCCTGCACTACTATTACAGACTGCACTACTATTACAGAAAATACGGTATATTGTATCCGATTTGGAGTCAAATATCATTGCAAATCGTGTTTTTAAATGTTTTTTTAATCATTTTCATGAAATCTTATAGAATTTTAACTTTAGCAACCTAGAAAAGCCCATTAGCATCACATTTCCGCCCATATTTTACTGTGAATTCAAAGTAAAACCACCGCTTCTTTTACTTAACGATAATTTTATCGTAATATCAAAAGAGCGCCAATGCAAAAACGCTTAAAAGAGCGCGACTAGATTTTTGCCAATTTTTTTCATTTCTCTTGATATTTTTTCTTGGTTTTTTATGTTTATTTCCAATTTTTTTTTGTTTTTCGGTAAAAGTACGGCTGGGAATTTCAAATTCGCCGTTAATTTTGGCAGAAAACGACCGGCAAGTCAAAGTAAGGCGCATTTTATCAAAAGAAGGATTTTTTTTGTTGTTTGTTTTCATTTATTGTCTAAGTTTTTAATTTTAGGTAAAGAAACTAATCTACAATCGCCTAGATCGCCTAATCTACAATCGCCTAGATCGCCTAATCTACAATCGCCTAGATCGCCTAATCTACAATCGCCTCACGTTTCCTCTTCTCATCGAACAAGGAAGTTGACTATCAGAAATGGCACCTTAGGAAAATCGCATATTGGATATCTTTCAACTCTGTCATTTTACATCGATTTTAAATGTTCTTATCATTTTTGTTATTCTATTCAATTTTAATTTTAATTAAATTGTTAAAAGAATTCATGATAAATCTTTGCAATCAATACAGGAGTTTTAAAGAAAGAAAAAAAGGTTAAAACGCAGTTAATGGTTGAATTTCATATGACTTAAGCCTTGGCGCTCTTTTGATCATGGCGCTCTTTTAAGCGGCGCTGTTTTAAACGGCGCTCTTTTGAAGGCGCTCTTTTAAGCGGCGTTCTTTTAAACGGCGCTCTTTTAAACAGTGCTCTTCTAAACGGCGCTCTTTTAAGCGGCGCTATTTTAAACGACGCTCTTTTGAACGCCGCTCTTTTCAAGGTGCTCTTCTAAGCGGCGCTCTTTTAAACAGTGCTCTTCTCAATGGCGCTCTTTTAAGCGGCGTTCTTTTAAACAGTGCTCTTCTAAACGGCGCTCTTTTGATATAGTCCCTAAAAAACAGATACCCTACTGTACAATGATGTTTCAATTGAAATTGGATAAAAGCCCAAATCGAATACAACATTCTAGATATGTTTTTTAATCATCAAAAAACCAACATCTCTGAATTGAGCTAAACCGAGTTCGCCCAATTCGGCGACACACGCATACGCGCTGTCGGTTTGAAGAAACACTTGACATAAAGACATCCATTCTGATCGGAAAATCGTACCCATCGTTTACGAGAATGGAAAAATTGACCCTAAAATGGGTGATCAATGAAATCGAATATCTTAATTGACAGAAACGATCAGTTCAAGAATCTCAGAAGTTAGTACAAGTACTTGATTGAATAGTACATTAGTACAAGTACTTGATTCAATTTTTAGGAAACTTGCCAACAGTTCTTTGACAGACAAAATCAAATAGAGCATAAAAGAGCACAATTTTCGGATCTTTGATATCATTTAAAATAAATGATTGAAAAAGTCGAAATTGAGTGGCACTACGGAAGTCGATCCAGGATCTTGTGGGTGGGTCATAGACAGTCGATCTTGACGGACAGTCGGTCCAGTCGATCTTGTGGGTCATAGACAAGCCTGCTCCCGACTGCGCCACGACGACAAGGGAAATCAGCGAGAAAAACCCGCCCTTAGACGGGTTTTTCAATCTATCAATTGAAATCTATCAATTCAAGCTATCGATTCAAGCTATCAATTGAAAGCTTGAGAAATTTTGAAGCTAAGTGAAAATTAAAAAACTCAGAACTGTTGGCAAGTTTCCTAAAAATTGAATCAAGTACTTGTACTAACTTCTGAAATTCTTGAACTAACTGCTGAACCAAAAATTGTAATCAAATTCTATTCGAAATCGAAATATCGAAAACCAAAGAAAGTAAAGAGCAATATTTGATTTCTTTTCTCTAATCATTACATTTCTTTTTTGCCTCTCATCTCTTCTGGCAGAAGCCCTTGTTATCAGTTTTTTTTCTTTCGACGTGCGTGTTTTATCAGCTTTTTTTACCGCCACCGTCGAGAAATTCCTTTTTCGGACTTTTTTAAAGTCCGAAACGCTTTTGAATATTGAAAGTATTGAAAAGAAATTTTGACTACTTTATAATTTCAAAAATAGAATAATAATTTGAGATTTTGAAGTTAAAGCTCTAACTCTAAACTTTGAAAGCTTTTAGCTGACACCTAGATCTTGGCTACTTTATAATTTCAAAAAGAAATTAATAAACTTGTTAAGTTAAGAGTAAAAATTGAGGAATTGGAAGTAATTAGTCTTAACTTAACAAGTTTTTTAGTTTCTTTTTGAAATTATAAAAAGTAGTCAAGATCTAGGTGTCAGCTAAAAGCTTTCAAAGTTTAGAGTTAGAGCTTTAACCTCAAAATCTCAAATTATTATTCCTGATTAGTGGAAAAGCCGAAAAAAACCCGTCTAAGGGTTTCCCTTGTCGTCGTGGCGCAGTCGGGAGTTCCAATATGGTTCCAATATGGTTCCAATATGGTTCGGATACGGTTCCAATATGGTTCCAAGATGGTTCCAATTTGATTCTAATATGGTTCGGATACGGTTCCAATATGGTTCCAATATGGTTCCAATATGGTTCCAATATGGTTCCAATATGGTTCCAAGATGGTTCCAATTTGATTCTAATATGGTTCCAATATGGTTCGGATACGGTTCCAATATGGTTCCAATATGGTTCCAATATGGTTCGGATACGGTTCCAATATGGTTCCAATATGGTTCCAATATGGTTCGGATACGGTTCCAATATGGTTCCAATATGGTTCCAATATGGTTCGGATACGGTTCCAATATGGTTCCAATATGGTTCCAATATGGTTCGGATACGGTTCCAATATGGATACGGTTCCAAAACGCAAAAGAAAACACACTTTTAGACTTTTCTGCTGTTGCTATTGCTGTTGCTATTGCTATTGCTGCTGTTGTTGCTATTGCTGCTGCTGTTGCTATTGCTGTTGAAAGTCAATTTTACCTTTGAAAAACTTTTCGAAAACCTCTTCAAGTAATCTCAGAGTAAAGTTTTTATTTCATTTTTTAAAAGATCTCAATAGATATTTTAAATTGATTGATTTTAAAAGATCAATAGATATCTTTTAAAATCAAAAATGGTTCATTTCATAGTAACATTTTACTATATAGAGTTTAAACTAGATTTAAAGTTACAGTAATCTTCAAAAGTTGACACATTTCAGTCAAGAACGACTTTTTTTAAACTGTTTAAACTTGTTTAAACCGTGTTTAAACGTGTTTCTTTTGATTTTTTAAAAAGTGACTTTAAAAAAAAGCTACGGTAATCTAATTTTTAGCGTATATTTCTTCAAATATAGGCTAAAACTAGAAAAAGCATATGTGCTTTCTTTAAAAATTACTGTAAAGCTTTTATATGTAGCACGGATACGTCATTCGCGAAAAAAGGAGAAAAAAAAAGAAAGAAATGCACAAAGAAAATTTAAAAACGTGTAAAAAGTAAACACAACTCAAAAATAGCCAAAAAAAGTTAAACAAAAAAATTTCAATTTCTAAAACGAATCAATGGGGGAAATTCGGCGTACCCGATTGGGAAAAGAAAAAGTTTTATCAAAATTTACGAAAATTTGAAAAATTCAAGCAAGAGACATGGCACAGCCATACAAAAAAAAAGTTTTTTTTTAAAAATTGTTGCAAAAATTTTCTACTAGAAAAGCACATTTTGAAAATTAGAGCAATATGGATGAAATTTACCTACCGTAAATACTGTAATAGTACCCCACCCCCTCGGGGGGTGGGGTACTATTACAGTATTTACGACTACCTCGGGTAGTCGCAAAAGTTTTTTCGTATTTCATTTTTTTCATAGCGCCCGTACTTTCAAAAAATGCGTCTTTGGTATGAAAAAATAGCTGAAATTCAGGGCTATTTTTTTGATACCTAAGCGCGCATTGTAGTATAAACCAGTGTCGAGAAAAACTCGTTCAAAGCTAGACTACACAACACTCTGAACCTTCATTATGGGGCTGGGGTACTATTACAGTATTTACGGTAGGAATTTTTGAATTTTAGAAAATTTTATGTGAAAATTATGCACACATTTATCACAAATAGGAACAGAGAAGAGAGGAGAGGAAAAGAAAGGAGGAAAAGAAAGGAGGAAAAGAAAGGAGGAAAAGAAAGGAGGAAAAGAAAGGAGGAAAAGAAAGGAGGAAAAGAAAGGAGGAAAAGAAAGGAGGAAAAGAAAGGAGGAAAAAATGGGGGAGACAAGGTTGGAACTGAAGTTGGATAAGGGGAACTGAAAATATTCAAGAAACAATGAAGAGTACTGTAAAGTTCCAGTTCTTTGTTGGCAACCAGGTGTTAACCGAATATCTTACTATAACTATTTATGTAAAAGATATTCACTCTTGATGTCTGAATATTTTTCCATTGCTTACTGAGACACAAGGACTGGGACTTACAGTATTCCAAGTCTGAAAGAACCGGTGCGTACTTTATGCTTATTTGCACAAACGCTAGCTCTCTAGCATACTCGATTTCGACTTTTTCTTAAGGATTCATTTATAATTCCGAAATCTGGTGTGCCAGAAGGTGCGCGTTTGAGTGAGTACAAAATCCAGCCCAATTCTTTCAGCTTCAACAATAAAAATTCCTGCAGTTGTATTTTTGCGCTTGTACTGACTAGAGGCGAGAATTTTTTTTTTGAAATTAAGATAATATTAGGTTGATGCATAAGTCTTTTCGTTCCTTTTCGTCTGCCGTTTCAAGCCAACAAATGCACCAATTAAACTACGGTTGATTTCATTAGAAAAACCAATTATTTTTCTGCAAAATAACATTAAAACGGGTTTAAAAATATTTTATGCCTGGATTTTCTTGAGAGTATGAAGTCGGGTAGTCAAAAAGGGCTAACTCGATGATGCGGTTTAGACACCTTAGCTAAAGAAAACCTATCTTCGTGTCAATAGATAAAAGATAGAGAAAAAAAACGTTTGATATTTCGCCAAAATTTCAGAGAAATTCATTCAGCCAATTTTTCCGTAGAGTTTTTTATAGATTTTTACGAAAAAGGCGTTTTTCACTCTCGAATTTGCTTGAAAGTGAATCGAAATTGATTTAAAAAGATGGAAATTGAGCAAAAAAACACTTTTTTTATAGAGCAAACTATAGATTAATTGGTGAATTTGTTACTTTTTAACAGAAGTACGAAAAAAACGAAAAGACTTATGCATCAACCTATTAATTGATTTTTGATTAGAATCGAACACAATAAATACAAATTTCAATCTAAATAAGCACTTATTTATCATCGAAAGCCTCGGGAAGACGCTCGGGAATGGAGATGGTGGCCATCTCTTGAGCCAATGAACCGCACTGACTTTCCTGAAATTTTTATTGATTAAGAATTGTATTTATTCTTATCTAGCTTTATAGAAACTTAAGTTTTATAATATTTCAATATATTTTTAACAATAATAAACATAATCGCATTTTTCTAACACTCACATCCTTTGGCGGTCTTTCGTCTGTCTATCTTTCGTCTGTCTGTCTTTCGTCTGTCTATCTTTCGTCTGTCTGTCTTTCGTCTGTCTGTCTTTCGTCTGTCTATCTTTCATCTGTCTGTCTGTCTTTCATCTGTCTGTCTTTCGTCTGTCTGTCTGTCACTACTCTTTCGCGCCTAGTGGCCCGTTTCAAATGATTTATACTTAGTCTGGCTTAGAATTTCATTTAGTTGTGCAACATGCATTTAAATTTTTAAAAAACCTGTGCTGACGCGAGCGGGAATCGAACCCGCGTCGTTTGGGCTAGAGACAAGTGCGCTCGCACTGTGATATCTATTATAGAGTATGGTCGAGTGGTTAACGCGCGCGTCTTTCAAACCAACAGAAGAGAGTTCGCAGGTTCGCCACTTGTCGCTAATTCTTTTGCTTTTTGCTGCGAAGCTTCTGGTAAAAACATAAACAAAATGCAAAAACATGTCAAAAACGCGTAAATAAAGTAATTTGTTCGGCAAAAAGTGTAAACGGGTTATTCTAGGTTGTATTTCTTTTCATCTAGCTTTATAGAAACTTAAGTTTTATAATATTTCAATATATTTTTAACAATAATAGACATAATCGCATTTTTCTAACACTCACATCCTTTGGCGGTCCCATCGCTCTCGGCATGCTGCCACGGGGTGTCAAAATTCGACGCCGACTATCTAAAGTTTAAGATAAAATCTGTTTTAAGG